ATATCCTGTGGTTTCTTCTCCATTCCAGGTATTCTGAGAGCAAATAATCTGGATAGAAATACGTTCCTGTATAGACATCCAAATCTAAAGTCATTGTATTATAAAATAATTATAAATTATTAGTAATTGTATTATAAAAGTTTTGATATGGCCTTCTGCTAAGTAGGAGTCCGAGATGTGAACGACTCCAAATCACACACTCGAACATGCACGCACACACACACACAGGCGCGCGCGCACACACACAATCACTCACACTGACTGAGCCCCAAGGGTCATATCAACATGTTGCGGCTCCTCTCCTCTCTTTTCATTGGTGTTCTACAGTACAAAATCTATTCAACTTATTTCACTCACCGGGAGATGGGTGTAATAGATTTCATTTCCTGAGTCATACACAGTGCACACTCTTCATGAACTAGCCTACTACTGTAGAACCAGAGTGTAAACTGTCAACTCCACGGTGAAGTAGATTTCTATTGACAAATGGGCAGTGCATCATCGGTCAGTAGAGTATGTGGTCACCCCAATCAAAAAACTAAAATACATCATCTATTTTCAGTTACAACGTATTCAGGTTCTCAGCTCATACAGAACACTCACACACACACATCTCATACGTCAAACTAACAGGTTGAATTAGCCTCACATGTTTGTGTCGGATGACTTCAATGGTTGTGAATCACAACAGCCCCATTACTGTCTTTGTCTCTGTTGTTCTTTGTTTGCTGTGTGACGCTGGTGTGGTCTGCCATGATGGCCTCTGCCTGCTGTGATTGAGTTGACCGTGGTCAACCCTTAGCTGTGGTATATTGGCCATATACCACAAACCCCTGAGGTGCCTTATTGCAATTATAAACTGGTTATCAATATAATTAGAACAATAAAAAGTAATGTTTTGTCATACCCATGGTATACGGTCTGATATACCACGGCTTTCAGCCAATCAGCATTCAGGGCTCAAACCACCCAGTTTATACTGTACCTCGAACCACCCAGTTTAAGCCACCCATTTTATACATCCAGGGTTTGTGGTATGTGGCCAATATACCACAGCTAAGGGCTGTATCCAGGCACTCTGTGTTGTGTTGTGCATAAGGACAGTCCTTAGCCATGGTATATTGGCCATATACCACACCCCCTTGGGCCTTATTGCTTAAATATAAACTGGTTGGTTCGAGCCCTGACTGCTGCTTGGCTGAAAGCTGTGGTATATCAGACCGCATACCACGGGTATGACAAAACATGTATTTTTACTGTTCTAATTACGTTGGTAACCAGTTTATAATAGCAGTAAGGCACCTTGGGGGTTTGTGGTATATGGCCAATATACCACTGCTAAGGGCTGTGTCCAGGGACTACACGTTGCACCGTGCATAAGAACAGCCCTTAGCAGTGGTATATTGGCCATATACCACACGCCCTCAGGCCTTATTGCTTAAATATACCACGCCTAAGGGCTGTTCCTATGCACAACACAAAGCAGAGTGCCTGAATACAGCCCTTGGAAGTGGTATATTGGCCATATACCACAAACCCCTGAGGTGCCTTATTGCTATTATAAAATGGTTACCAACATTAATATAACAGCAAACAAGTCGTTTTGCGTCTTACCCCTGGTATATTGTCTGATATACACACGGCTGGAATGCTGTTTCAGCCAATCAGCATCAAGGACCTAAACGACCCGGTTTATAAATAACATTAATTGTGAAGAGAACGGATGTGGTTGAGGCTGAGTCAGAGACTGATCCCCAGTCACACCTCATGACCAGACTCCAGCTCCAATTTACTTTGATCTCAACTTCACAAAAACGCCCAGACAGGTTCAACATTAAAATTAGTCAACACTGAAATTGGGACAAGTTGTTCTGTACAAATTCCTTTATTTATTTTTATTTATTTAACCTTTATTTAACTAGGCAAGTCAGTTAAGAACAAATTCTTATTTACAATGACGGCCTACACCGGCCAAACCCGGACAACGCTGGGCCAATTGTGCGCCGCCCTATGGGACTCCCAACCACAGCCGGTTGTGATACAGTCTGGAAACGAACCAGGGGGTCAGTAGTGACGCCTCAAGCACTGAGATGCAGTGCCTTAGACCGCTGCGCCACTTGGGAGCCCATTTATTTCCTCAAGGCCCCTGCACCGGACCATTTTTTCCCCCATGAAACCCCAATTGTTAGCCAAACAGTGATCATTTTGCAGAAAACGATTTAGACATTACGTTTACGTCAATGCCATAAACGTCAGTGTCATACATTTGAATGTCATGAATCACTTTGTTTTACAGGTGACTCAATATAATTTAATCACCTGTAAAATGATCATGCATTATTGTAAAGATCCAAGTGTGAACTGTTGGTAACAGGGAAAGACTGGGCCTGTCTAAATCGTTTTCTGCAAAATGATCACTATTTGGCTAACAATTGGTGCTTCAAGGGGGAAAAAATGGTCTGGTGTAGGGGCCTTGAGGAAATAAATGGGCTGGTATGATAGCAATAGGGCCGATTTCTGGTCCCTGTCCGTCCCTGGTTGGTAATGAGTTAAAAATACCTGCAGCGTGACATACTTTGACAACCTTTTTTAGGAACTTCCACAGAGCACTACACCACCACCACTCCCCTACCCTACCTCAACCCACTCCCCCACCCTACCCTACCCTACCTCACCCCCCCATCCCTGGTCCTCTGGGGCTGGCAGAGGGGAGAGCAGAGAGGGGAGAGGGAAGTGGGAAGAGAGGAGTGGAGAGAGGGAAGAGGAGAGTGGGGAAAGAGGAGTGGGGAGAGGCGGAGGGAGAGGGAGAGGTGAGTGGGTTCAGGGCCATATACCAGCAGGTAATCATCTCCTCTGGCACCATGCAGCTCCATGCAGCCCCATGCACACTGATAGCTCACTGTTAGTCCTCAGAGTGAGGTCGTATGATTAGGAGGAAGGGGAAAATCATCAATCAAAAATCATCAATTATGTAAAAAATGAAATAACTTCCTAGCCCCTACTTCTGTCAGATCTCTCCACCCCCAACCTGACCCCTCCGCACACCAGCCTGGTAAACACCACACACCCTCCATCCTCAACCTCGACCCCTGCCCTCAAAACCCCCACACTCTGCCTTATTTGTGGATCTACAAAATACAGTAACTATGAAATATGGCCTGGAGTTCATTATTAAAACATTACACTGTTAACCTTTTGTAATATGCAACATTTGGATCCCTGCCGGTCCTTTGTTGTTCCATGCATGTATTCCATCATCTATCTAATCACATTCCCTAGGGACTGAAGTCCTTGTATGTCTTATATCCCCTACGGTGTGTGTGTTATTTATATCTGTTATTTCCCCCACGGCCATTGTCCACAGGCTGCTATGATTTGAAGTTTATATCAATGAAAGATTGATATATGGGGCGGCACGCAATTGGCCCAGCGTCGTCCAGGGTAGGGGAGGGAATGGCCGGCAGGGATGTAGCTCAGTTGATAGAGCATGGCGTTTGCAACGCCAGGGTTGTGGGTTCGATTCCCACAGGGGGTATGAAAAAATAAATAATGTATGCACTAACTAACTGTAAGTCGCTCTGGATAAGAGCGTCTGCTAAATGACTAAAATGTAAAATGTAAATGTAAAGATTCATGGTTCGTACAGATGCGGTTTGCTATGATTCACAAAACGTCCATCCTCTGATTGCCAGAGTAGGCTTTAATTGTGAGGCAAAATAATTGTTGATTTATTTGCATACTGCTGATAAACACTACCTTGAGTTGCTTTCAAGTGTTGGTAAGAGATTGTATTCTCACTTTTTTTATAATAATGTTTTATGTTAGTATAATAATACATTTGCATATGAAGTAAACTATAAACCACCAAAACTCATTGTATTGTATTAACATTGTCCAGAAAACCAATGCTTCAACGAATGACTGATAATATGCTTCACATGTTTTAATCAATATCCTTCTTCCTTGCGAGGAAAGGAAGCGTACCCTTTGGGTCTAATGTCATGCTTGGGGTAAGTTGTAGAATTTATGTTTGATCGCAACGGCTGTCAAAATAATTTCAATAGGAATTTAGCAGCAGAGAAAGCAATTTAAAAAAGACCTTTGGAAACACACACACACACACACTGACTGACTGCCAATCACTTCAACATCGTTAGCCATCTTTACAGTATCTCTTTCTGCTAATCAATTCGGCATGCTGGCAGCAGCTCAATTAGCTGTCTCCAAGACGTCCATCCATGTAGTCTCATGGTGCTGTGGCAGCTCCTATCTCTATAGTCTATAATGACTTCCTAGATGGATTAGGCTCTTTATTATTTATATTATTGTCAATGACCACTACAATTAAGCAATCAAGAGGACAGGGCACCACGTTGAGAGCAGCTATTTAGCAGTGAACTAGGGCAGAGCAAATGCACTTCTTGTATTCATCAGTCAAAGAGATAGAGAGAGTGTCTGAGCAACACTGTTCTATCAACTAACAGGTTATAGAGCAAACAACGCAATTATCACAACACATAGGTTGTAATATGGCTTTTTATTTTTTCTGGATTGGCGTCTCCGTTTATTTTACCCACGCACCGCTACTGGTTCTATTTGGTGGGACTGTCTTTCAAACTCATATTTTTTTGGTCTCAACCTGTTGGAAAATGAAACAATAAGAACCAACTCCAAGTCATGAATACAGGCCCTACCACTACAACCATTTGAAAATAAGAAAACCAACTGAAACCATGACACCATAATCCACTTATCTTCAGTACCAATTAGATTTGTGTCATGTATCAAAGAATAGGACTATGGAACGTTTGGGGACGCTGAATGGATCATGGTGTTCGTTTTTCGGATGACAGCTAGGCGCCACGGGCTCAATTTGAACGTCCTTGTCATCATCATGAGTGGTATGAATATGAGGGTACACGAGAATGTGATGTGACGTCGAGAACCCACCTACGTGTCTGCAGCTGATTGGACTCGCTCAGATACCCAGCTATCATTTAATGAACCGAGGTGGACTGGACATTTCACTGTCCTCGCGTATCTCGTCGCTACACTGCAGGAGCTATCCACGCCTTGCATCACTCCAGAACGCACCTGGGCACACGCACGGTCCACTCCCGTATTTAACCGTCTCTAACTGTCTCAAACATAATATTACCACTTCGATCGGAAAACAGGTAAAGAAGTATTTATTTTTTAGATAAATATGCCCTGTAATTGATGTACTATATATCTCGATTTTTAAAAATGATTTCTATGCCCGTCAAATGGCGTGCATATTTCAGGTACATTTGGATGCTGATAACCCAACTTTGACAGCAAGCTGAAGAAACAAACATTTTAGACTTTTGTTGTTGAAACGTGATTGATGTCCTTGAAAACATCCGAACAAAGCAAAATAACTGCCATTGTTTATTAATATAGACTTTAAATTCAAAATGAATGGCAACATTTCCGTGCGCATTACGCGTAATTTCAAACAAGGAGCCTTTTCCTTTTGTCTTTTTATTTTTAAATGTTTTTTAAAGATTGTATTGTAGAGTCATATCTGTCAGCTATATTATATTTATTGAGGGGCACTATTCCTTTGCGTAAAGTCAGGCTTAAATGTGATGCGGGTTTGGTTTCCGTGGAGCCCTTATCGAATTACTTAGCAAGTTGTTACTTGTTGTTTGGCTATATTGTTGCTAACCCATCGTCACTCACCTTACAGGTGGTGGTAAAAAGATGAAAAGCGGCATGTTGCTGGTGGCTCTGTTCCTCGCCATGAAACTCCACTCAAGCCAGTCCAGCTGCGAGGAACCTGCGGCTGGGGTTGGGGCACACAGATCAACCGAGTCAGAGGTATGGAAGTTTCTCAGCCAAACGTATCAATTTAAATCTCAGATTAGCGCGTACATTTTTTGTTTTTCCTTCAGACAATAAATAATATTTGTGAATTCAAATTACTGATAAAATACACTATAGCCAATGGGTTGTATCAAAGCCGGACTGTGGAAGAGAACATTGTTTCATATGCCATTAAAACATTAAATGAGTTGGACGGAATTAATTCCTTAATATTTCACCAGACGTTGCCCACTGGGAACAAACGTCAGTTCAACGTCTAGTTATGATTTACATTTGGTTGAGTTGTCAACTAACGTGATTTCAACGTGAAATCAACAAAAATGTTCACCATGTCATTGGATTTAAGTTAAAAGTTGGTTGAAAAAATGACGAAATGCTCATTCATTGATGACTTTTTGAAAATACAATTCGTTTTCCAACTGATTCAACCTCATCACATTGATCTTTGGGGGGTTGGAATGACAGTGGGTGCTTACAGGTTTTTTCAATCACTTTGGTGCAATTTTCACAAGTACAGTATGTGTTACATTTTCACAACTCTAAGCACAAAAATCTAAACAGATCATCAATGGTTGGTGTTTCAAAACTCCAAGTACATTTTCAATTGACTGAGTACAACAAACAAATTCACAAAGTGACTTGTCACTCTTTCAATTTGGATACTTATTCAATCTAAGTATCTGCTTTTCAAAATGCAATATCCACTAACGTAATTTGTTAACTACTAAAACAAATGTAGGTAGTGCCAGGTAGTGCCAGTGTACAGTTGAAGTCGGAAGTTTACATACACTTAGGTTGGAGTCATTAAACCTCGTTTTTCAACCACTCCACAAATTTCTTGTTAACAAACTATAGTTTTGGCAAGTCGGTTAGGACATCTACTTTGTGCATGACACAAGTAATTTTTCCAACAATTGTTTACAGATTATTTCACTTATAATTCACTGTATCACAATTCCAGTGGGTCAGAAGTTTACATACACTAAGTTGACTGTGCCTTTAAACAGCTTGGAAAATACTAGAAAATAATGTCATGGCTTTAGAAGCTTCTGATAGGCTAATTGACATCATTTGAGTCAATTGGAGGTGTACCTGTGGATGTATTTCAAGGCCTACTTTCAAACTCAGTGCCTCTTTGCTTGACATTTTTACATTTTACATTTTAGTAATTTAGCAGACACTCTTATCCAGAGCGACTTACAGTTAGTGAGTGCATACATTTTTTTTTTTCATACTGGGAAAATAAAAGAAATCAGCCAAGACCTCAGAAAAATAATTGTAGACCTCCACAAGTCTGGTTCATCCTTGGGAGCAATTTCCAAACGCCTGAAGGTACCATGTTCATCTGTACAAATAATAGTACGCAAGTATAAACACCATGGGACCATGCAGCTGTCATACAGCTCAGGAAGGAGATGCGTTCTGTCTCCTAGAGATGAACGTACTTTGGTGCGAAAAGTGCAAATCAATTCAAGAACAACAGCAAAGGACCTTGTGAAGATGCTGGAGGAAACAGGTACAAAAGTATCTATATCCACAGTAAAACGAGTCCTATATCGACATAACCTGAAAGGCTGCTCAGCAAGGAAGAAGCCACTGATCCAAAACCACCATAAAAAAGAAAGACTACGGTTTGCAACTGCACATGGGGACAAAGATCGTACTTTTTGGAGAAATGTCCTCTGGTCTGATGAAACAAAAATAGAACTGTTTGGCCATAATGACCATCGTTATGTTTGTGGTGCTTTGGGGTGCTTTGCTGCAGGAGGGACTGGTGCACTTCACAAAATAGATGGCATCATGAGGAAGGAAAATTATGTGGATATATTGAAGCAACATCTCAAGACAACAGTCAGGAAGTTAAAGCTTGGTCGCAAATGGGTCCTCCAAATGGACAATGACCCCAAGCATACTTCCAAAGTTGTGGCAAAATGGCTTAAGGACAACAAAGTCAAGATATTGGAGCGGCCATCACAAAGCCCTGACCTCAATCCTATAGAACATTTGTGGAAGGCTACCTGAAACGTTTGACCCAAGTTAAATAATTTAAAGGCAATGCTACCAAATACTAATTGAGTGTATGTAAACTTCTGACCCACTGGGAATGTGATGAAATAAATAAAAGCTGAAATAAATCATTCTCTCTACTATTATTCTGACATTTCACATTCTTAAAATATAGTTGTGATCCTAACTGACCTAAGACAGTGAATTTTTACTAGGATTAAATGTCAGGAATTTAAATGTATTTGGCTAAAGTGTATGTTAACTTCCGACTTCAACTGTATATAGTTTGATTACTGCTGAACACTGTACATTTCTATATATTTACCTCATAAATGTATCAATTTGACATCAATTTATGTTGGAAGGTAAAACCAAATCATATATGGATGTGGCTGTAAATACTACATCATCATTCTTCCAGTGTGCTTCAATAGGTCAAAGTAGAAAGAGTCACTATGTGCTACCATTTGGAATTATAGTGTAGTGTACAATGCACTGCTGAAATACCTATATACAGTGAAGGAAAAAAGTATTTGATCCCTTGCTGATTTTGTACGTTTGCCCACTGACAAAGACATGATTAGTCTATCATTTTAATGGTAGGTTTATTTGAACAGTGAGAGACAGAATAACAACAAAAAAATCCAGAAAAACGCATGTCAAAAATGTTATAAATTGATTTGCATTTTAATGAGGGAAATAAGTATTTGACCCCTCTGCAAAACATGACTTAGTACTTGGTGGCAAAACCCTTGTTGGCAATCACAGAGGTCAGACGTTTCTTGTAGTTGGCCACCAGGTTTGCACACATCTCAGGAGGAATTTTGTTCCACTCCTCTTTGCAGATCTTCTCCAAGTCATTAAGGTTTCGAGGCTGACGTTTGGCAACTCAAACCATCAGCTCCCTCCACAGATTTTCTATGGGATTAAGGTTTGGAGACTGGCTAGGCCACTCCAGGACCTTAATGTGCTTCTTCTTGAGCCACTCCTTTGTTGCCTTGGCCGTGTGTTTTGGGTCATTGTCATGCTGGAATACCCATCCACAACCCATTTTCAATGCCCTGGCTGAGGGAAGGAGGTTCTCACCCAAGATTTGACGGTACATGGCCCCGTCCATCGTCCCTTTGAATGCAGTGAAGTTGTCCTGTCCCCTTAGCAGAAAAACACCCCCAAAGCATAATGTTTCCACCTCCATGTTTCACGGTGGGGATGGTGTTCTTGGGGTCATAGGCAGCATTCCTCCTCCTCCAAAACGGCGAATTGAGTTGATGCCAAAGAGCTCCATTTTGGTCTCATCTGACCACAACACTTTCACCCAGTTCTCCTCTGAATCATTCAGATGTTCATTGGCAAACTTCAGACGGCCCTGTATATGTACTTTCTTGAGCAGGGGGACCTTGCAGGGCGCTGCAGGATTTCAGTCCTTCACGGCGTAGTGTGTTACCAATTGTTTTCTTGGTGACTATGGTCCCAGCTGCCTTGAGATCATTGACAAGATCCTCCCGTGTAGTTCTGGGCTGATTCCTCACCGTTCTCATGATCATTGCAACTCCACAAGGTGAGATCTTGCATGGAGCCCCAGGCCGAGGAAGATTGACAGTGCTTTTGTGTTTCTTCCATTTGCGAATAATCGCACCAACTGCCAAATAAATAAATAATAATAATGTACAGTGAGGGAAAAAAGTATTTGATCCCCTGCTGATTTTGTACGTTTGCCCACTGACAAAGACATGATCAGTCTATAATTTTAATGGTAGGTTTATTTGAACAGTGAGAGACAGAATAACAACAACAAAAATCCAGAAAAACGCATGTCAAAAATGTTATAAATTGATTTGCATTTTAATGAGGGAAATCAGTATTTGACCCCTCTGCAAAACATGACTTAGTACTTGGTGGCAAAACCCTTGTTGGCAATCACAGAGGTCAGACGTTTCTTGTAGTTGGCCACCAGGTTTGCACACATCTCAGGAGGGATTCTGTTCCACTCCTCTTTCCAGATCTTCTCCAAGTCATTAAGGTTTCGAGGCTGACGTTTGGCAACTCGAACCATCAGCTCCCTCCACAGATTTTCTATGGGATTAAGGTCCGGAGACTGGCTAGGCCACTCCAGGACCTTAATGTGCTTCTTCTTGAGCCACTCCTTTGTTGCCTTGGCCGTGTGTTTTGGGTCATTGTCATGCTGGAATACCCATCCACGACCCATTTTCAATGCCCTGGCAGAGGAAAGGAGGTTCTCACCCAAGATTTGACGGTACATGGCCCCGTCCATCGTCCCTTTGATGCAGTGAAGTTGTCCTGTCCCCTTAGCAGAAAAACACGCCCAAAGCATAATGTTTCCACCTCCATGTTTGACGGTGGGGATGGTGTTCTTGGGGTCATAGGCAGCATTCGTCCTCCTCCAAACACGGCGAGTTGAGCTGATGCCAAAGAGCTCGATTTTGGTCTCATTTGACCACAACACTTTCACCCAGTTCTCCTCTGAATCATTCAGATGTTCATTTGCAAACTTCAGATGGCCCTGTATATGTACTTTCTTGAGCAGGGGGACCTTGCGGGCGCTGCAGGATTTCAGTCCTTCACGGCGTAGTGTGTTACCAATTGTTTTCTTGGTGACTATTGTCCCAGCTGCCTTGAGATCATTGACAAGATCCTCCCGTGTAGTTCTGGGCTGATTCCTCACCATTCTCATGATCATTGCAACTCCACGAGGTGAGATCTTGCATGGAGCCCCAGGTCGAGGGAGATTGACAGTTCTTTTGTGTTTCTTCCATTTGCGAATAATCACACCAACTGTTGTCACCTCCTCACCAAGCTGCTTGGCGATGGTCTTGTAGCCCATTCCAACCTTGTGTAGGTCTACAATCTTATCCCTGACATCCTTGGAGAGCTCTTTGGTCTTGGCCATGGTGGAGAGTTTGGAATCTGATTGATTGATTGCTTCTGTGGACAGGTGTCTTTTATACAGGTAACAAGCTGAGATTAGGAGCACTCCCTTTAAGAGTGTGCTCCTAATCTCAACTCGTTACCTGTATAAAAGACACCTGGGAGCCAGACATCTTTCGGATTGAGAGGGGGTCAAATAGTTATTTCCCTCATTAAAATGCAAATCAATTTATAACATTTTTGACATGCGTTTTTCTGTATTTTTTTGTTGTTATTCTGTCTCTCACTGTTCAAATAAACCTACCATTAAAATTATAGACTGATCATTTCTTTGTCAGTGGGCAAACGTACAAAATCAGCAGGGGATCAAATACTTTTTTCCCTCACTGTGTATATACAGTGGGGGAAAAAAGTATTTAGTCAGCCACCAATTGTGCAAGTTCTCCCACTTAAAAAGATGAGAGAGGCCTGTAATTTTCATCATAGGTACACGTCAACTATGACAGACAAATTGAGAAGAAAAAAATCCAGAAAATCACATTGTAGGATTTTTAATGAATTTATTTGCAGATTATGGTGGAAAATAAGTATTTGGTCACCTACAAACAAGCAAGATTTCTGGCTCTCACAGACCTGTAACTTCTTCTTTAAGAGGCTCCTCTGTCCTCCACTCGTTACCTGTATTAATGGCACCTGTTTGAACTTGTTATCAGTATAAAAGACACCTGTCCACAACCTCAAACAGTCACACTCCAAACTCCACTATGGCCAAGACCAAAGAGCTGTCAAAGGACACCAGAAACAAAATTGTAGACCTGCACCAGGCTGGGAAGACTGAATCTGCAATAGGTAAGCAGCTTGGTTTGAAGAAATCAACTGTGGGAGCAATTATTAGGAAATGGAAGACATACAAGACCACTGATATTCTCCCTCGATCTGGGGCTCCACGCAAGATCTCACCCCGTGGGGTCAAAATGATCACAAGAACGGTGAGCAAAAATCCCAGAACCACACGGGGGGACCTAGTGAATGACCTGCAGAGAGCTGGGACCAAAGTAACAAAGCCTACCATCAGTAACACACTACGCCGCCAGGGACTCAAATCCTGCAGTGCCAGACGTGTGCCCCTGCTTAAGCCAGTACATGTCCAGGCCCGTCTGAAGTTTGCTAGAGTGCATTTGGATGATCCAGAAGAGGATTGGGAGAATGTCATATGGTCAGATGAAACCAAAATATAACTTTTTGGTAAAAACTCAACTCGTCGTGTTTGGAGGACAAAGAATGCTGAGTTGCATCCAAAGAACACCATACCTACTGTGAAGCATGGGGGTGGAAACATCATGCTTTGGGGCTGTTTTTCTGCAAAGGGACCAGGACGACTGATCCGTGTAAAGGAAAGAATGAATGGGGCCATGTATCGTGAGATTTTGAGTGAAAACCTCCTTCCATCACCAAGGGCATTGAAGATGAAACATGGCTGGGTCTTTCAGCATGACAATGATCCCAAACACACCACCCGGGCAACGAAGGAGTGGCTTCGTATGAAGCATTTCAAGGTCCTGGAGTGGCCTAGCCAGTCTCCAGATCTCAACCCCATAGAAAATCTTTGGAGGGAGTTGAAAGTCCGTGTTGCCCAGCGACAGCCCCAAAACATCACTGCTCTAGAGGAGATCTGCATGGAGGAATGGGCCAAAATACCAGCAACAGTGTGTGAAAACCTTGTGAAGACTTACAGAAAACGTTTGACCTGTTTCATTGCCAACAAAGGGTATATAACAAAGTATTGAGAAACTTTTGTTATTGACCAAATACTTATTTTCCACCATAATTTGCAAATAAATTCATTAAAAATCCTACAATGTGATTTTCTGGAGAAAAAAAAAATCATTTTGTCTGTCATAGTTGACGTGTACCTATGATGAAAATTACAGGCCTCTCTCATCTTTTTAAGTGGGAGAACGTGCACAATTGGTGGCTGACTAAATACTTTTTTCCCCCACTGTATATATATATATAAAAATTCCACTCATTATCTGAATTTCATCGATACACTGTAAGCAGAGAGACAGGCGATACTGTATCAGTTGACAAGCCACGTAAAAAAAAAGGTGATCTTGTACAATGTTGCATGGGGCAGAAATGACATACAACACCGTGCTACAATTTTACAGTAGCCAATTGCTTTACTGTTGGCAATACCCCTATTTCTGGCGATTTGTCCTACGTACAGTGGGGAAAAAAAGTATTTAGTCAGCCACCAATTGTGCAAGTTATCCCACTTAAAAAGATGAGAGAGGCCTGTAATTTTCATCATAGGTACACGTCAACTATGACAGACAAATTGAGAAAAAAAAATCCAGAAAATCACATTGTAGGATTTTTAATGAATTTATTTGCAAATTATGGTGGAAAATAAGTATTTGGTCACCTACAAACAAGCAAGATTTCTGGCTCTCACAGACCTGTAACTTCTTCTTTAAGAGGCTCCTCTGTCCTCCACTTCTTACCTGTATTAATGGCACCTGTTTGAACTTGTTATCAGTATAAAAGACACCTGTTCACAACCTCAAACAGTCACACTCCAAACTCCACTATGGCGAAGACCAAAGAGCTGTCAAAGGACACCAGAAACAAAATTGTAGACCTGCACCAGGCTGGGAAGACTGAATCTGCAATAGGTAAGCAGCTTGGTTTGAAGAAATCAACTGTGGGAGCAATTATTAGGAAATGGAAGACATACAAGACCACTGATAATCTCCCTCGATCTGGGGCTCCACGCAAGATCTCACCCCGTGGGGTCAAAATGATCACAAGAACGGTGAGCAAAAATCCCAGAACCACACGGGGGGACCTAGTGAATGACCTGCAGAGAGCTGGGACCAAAGTAACAAAGCCTACCATCAGTAACACACTACGCCGCCAGGGCCTCAAATCCTGCAGTGCAAGACGTGTCCCCCTGCTTAAGCCAGTACATGTCCAGGCCCGTCTGAAGTTTGCTAGAGTGCATTTGGATGATCCAGAAGAGGATTGGGAGAATGTCATATGAAACCAAAATAGAACTTTTTGGTAAAAACTCAACTCGTCGTGTTTGGAGGACAAAGAATGCTGAGTTGCATCCAAAGAACACCATACCTACTGTGAAGCATGGGGGTGGAAACATCATGCTTTGGGGCTGTTTTTCTGCAAAGGGACCAGGACGACTGATCCGTGTAAAGGAAAGAATGAATGGGGCCATGTATCGTGAGATTTTGAGTGAAAACCTCCTTCCGTCAGCAAGGGCATTGAAAATGAAACGTGGCTGGTTCTTTCAGCATGTCAATGATCCCAAACACACCGCCCGGGCAACGAAGGAGTGGCTTCGTACGAAGCATTTCAAGGTCCTGAAGTGGCCTAGCCAGTCTCCAGATCTCAACCCCATAGAAAATCTTTCGAGGGAGTTGAAAGTCTGTGTTGCCCAGCAACAGCCCCAAAACATCACTGCTCTAGAGGAGATCTGCATGGAGGAATGGGCCAAAATACCAGCAACAGTGTGTGACAACCTTGTGAAGACTTACAGAAAACGTTTGACCTGTGTCATTGCCAACAAAGGGTATATAACAAACTATTGAGAAACTTTTGTTCTTGACCAAATACTTCTTTTCCACCATAATTTGCAAATAAATTCATAAAAAATCCTACAATGTGATTTTCTGGATTTTTTTTCCTCATTTTGTCTGTCCTAGTTGACTTGTACCCATGATGAAAATTACAGGCCTCTCTCATCTTTTTAAGTGGGAGAACTTGCACAATTGGTGGCTGACTAAATACTTTTTTTCCCCACTGTATGTACTTTATAACGATAATGAAACTGTAAGATTTACATATTTCTCAACATGCTCACAACCTGCCATTGGATACAAATTATACTGTATGGGAAATTATATTTACCATCTGCTATTCTTTCTATTGAGCACTTCAAAATAAACATTTGTTTTGCTATTGGATTAAATGGTAGTTAAATTTACTAAATGGTGAGCCTATTATTATCTGATATATTGGTGACCAAATGAAAGGTTCTCATGGTATTTCACAGAAAACGTTTTTGCATGGATGACTCAGGGGTGAAATATGTGTGAAACCCCAATGAATGCACAATCAAAGGTACTGAACATAAAATAGGGGGCATTACAAGTGTTATCTAGTTTAGAGTTTTGTACTTGGGAGTTGATAAAGTATACCACTTACATCAAAAAAAAATGTGCCAAATTGATTGGGGGGAAAAAAATATATATAATCATGTGTCATCATTACAGGAGAGCCCAGGTTTGGGAAACCTCCAGCGAACCATTCTGAAGAGATATAACGACCTGGATTATGACAGCTTCGTCGGGCTGATGGGGAGAAGGAGTGCTTGTAAGCGTCAGCTCTGTCTACTCCACATCCTAGATCAATCAAACAAAGTTATTTATAAATACCTTTTTACATCAGCAGACAACAGTTGTCACCAAGTGCTTGTCCTGGCCTAAAGAGATGATGTTGTGTTGAGTCAAGCAATAGTCTTTGATGATGGATAGAAGGGTTTATACCAATGATACATTGGGTTGTACTGATATGGTATTGTCACTGAGACTTCTCTGTTTTGACAAGATTGACAATGTGTTCTACAGTAGTCTTTATTTATTTCAAAACATGTTCAATGCTGATGCAGGTGTTCACTGCTGGTAAATGACATTCTTCACAGGACTAATTAACTTTTTATTGGAGATCTATTGGGATTGATTATTTTTTGACAATTGACTTGTTTTTCCCCAGATATAAATGGTCTACCACCATCTCCCCATAAAAGTTAGTAATAACCATTGATTTACTGTTTCTTTCACATATCAATAGAAATGTTATTAGCTTTAATATAAAATTATGAGAAATGTCATATAATAATAATTCATTTAATTTGTAAAGCACATTTTTTTTTAATATACTGTGAACACCTGCATTTGATAATGACCTAAGCCTTTTTTGTAACAGGGGAGATGGATGATGTCTTTGTTGGGCTTATGGGGAGAAGAAACTCAGAACTTGGTGAGTGTGGGTGTATGGGCATATGTTACTCCCCTCAGAATGGAGATCTGAGAGCAGTAGGATAGTAATAGAAATACGTGGAAAAAATGAAGCACATGAGAACATTTCAATTTAATCAAGTGACTCAATTTTAATAATCAATCAAATGTTGAATAAATTAATATTCATATATTATATATATATATATATATTGTTACTTTTACCCCTTTTCGTGATATCCAATTGGTAGTTACAGTCTTGTCCCATCGCTGCAACTCCCGTACGGACTCGGGAAAGGCAATGGTCGAGAGCCATGCGTCCTCCGAAACACGACCCTGCCAAGCTGCACTGCTTCTTGACACACTGCTCGCTTAACCTGGAAGCCAGCCGCACCAATGTGTCGGAGGAAACACCGTACACCTGGCGACCGAAGTCAGCTTGCAGGTGCCAGGCCCGCCACAAGGAGTCGCTAGAGCACGATGGGACAAGGACATCTCGGCCGGCCAAACCCTCCCCTAACCCGGATGACGCTGGTCCACCCTTATTAAACTCTCCAGATCATTTTCCATTAATGGATGTCGATTTTACTTGTTTTGACTGCTATGATTAAGGAATAAGGCCGGAGGAGGTGTGGTATATGGCGAATATACCACAAAGAACAACCCTTAGCCGTGGTTTATTGGTAATTTACCACAAACCCATGAGGTGTGCCTTATTGCTATTATAAACTGGTTAGCAACGTAATTAGAACAGTAAAAAGTACGTTTTTGTCATTCCCTTGGTATACCATGTCTTTCAACCAATCAGCATTCAGCGCTCAAACCACCCTGTTTATAATTGTAAATAAACCCAGTTTGCGCATGTGCATAACTATAGATAAATCCGACAGGATTTTGACTACAAACCATTATAAATCGCCTATTTGCGAGATTGACTTGTTATTTCAATAGGCATAGGCCACTGACTAAAATCTGGGTTTATAACTTCAATTCAACTTTGCCATGGTTTGCTGAGCTAGATGCAGGTAGCATATAGCCCCTGATAGGCCTACATGCCAACATCTCATTTCAGGGAAAAGTCCACAATGTGGAGAATTATACATTTGCAATCTAGCTCGTTAATATGTTTTATGGAAAAGGGGTGTCTCCATAATGACCTACAACTGGTCAAAAGTTGTCACGATGTGCGTGCTAATCTGTCTCCGTGACTCAGTGAAATATACATTTATATGTATCTTTTTTTTTAAAGAGAGATGCCATGGCGGCCGTGGTGCAGTTTAAAGTAGGCCAAAAACCCGCCACTCAATAGATTTTCACCCGCGACATCATTTTCAAAGTAGCCCAATTTTGCTGGAAAACTGCGAACATGTCAACACTGAAGCCAGCTCAGAACTCCATTGATTCCTAGGCCAACACCAAAGTTAGAGCGCCCTCTTGTGTCCTGACTGTAATTGCATCTACTGCTGCATAATAAATACCTGACTGCATAGGAATGGATAGACTTAGTCCAGCAAAATAAAAAAGGTATCCCCTGTACTTTTAGTTCTAACTCAAGGATTTTCAACCCGCTACACTCTCCCCCTCTTTAAAGTGGCCCTTGCCATTACTCAGTAAGTCTGTAACTGAACGGGTATGTCTGGTGTTCTGTATAGGTTTCGGTACTGGTATTGATATTGGTCACACCACTAACATTGGTAAGTAGACATACATATTGGTAGAGTGGGTGGTAGAGTTTGCTATAAGGCATGGATGTTAGGTCTCCACACCTGGTATGTCGGCTGTCCAAGTGTGTCATAGGTTAGCATCCCTTCCTCTACGCATTGCTGATCTGAATCCATGAGGTCATTCATACATGAGGAACCATTGTCTGGATTGGGCCCAACTTCAGTTTCGGGAGTGTCATCTCTCCTGTCAACATGATCCTCTCTCCCTTCAGGATTGTCCCAATCCTCATTGTTTGGTTCTTCTAGGATCTCTGATTCCTGCTTCATGTTCTCATCCTAACTTCTGTATCCTGAATACAGGGATGAAACACATAGGCCTGTTCTCTCCGTGATTTTGTCTGAGGTCTTGGGTGTTCTGCGCTTGCAACTGGGTTAACTCCTGGAGACCAAAGTCTTCCTCATTAGAGTCTGCTGAAGTTTCATCCCCATCTCCTCCATGTTCCGTGTTTGATGTTCTTTTTCTAGCATGCTGTTTCCTCTCTTCCAAGGTGTCATGTTCCACGCAGGTAAGTAATTCACTAACATCAGCACGTTGCGATGGAGCACTCTGATGCCTTTAGCACCATTCTTCCTTTCCACCTTGTAGACTGGTCCTTCCCCAATCTTCTCTACCACCCTGTGTATGGCACCCTCCCAGTAGGCCTTGCCTGGTCAACTTGCCTGGTCCTCCTCTCTCTGAAATATTCTTCACCAAGACTCGGTCTCCAGTTTGGAGGGCCACTGCCTTTGCACCGTGTCCGTAGTGTCTTTTGCCTTTAGCCGAGGACTTTTTACTGTTTTCAGATGCAACTCTGTAAGCTTCCTGCATTTTGGTGGCCTAGTTCTGAGCGTAGACTGGGTGTGACACCTGTTCGTCACTCTGATTGAGGCCAAACAACTGGTCAATGGGCAGGCGGGGTGGCTGGCCAAAGAGAAGGAAGTGTGGTGAGAAGCCTGTTGCTTCGTGACGAGTGTAGTTGTATGAATGTTCAATATGAGGCAAGTGGTCTTTCCATTGTTATTTATTTTCATCAGGAAGGGTGCGAAGCATCTGTAGCAGCGTATAATTAATCTGTTCCACTGGGTTTTCCTGAGGATGATATGGCGCTGGGCGGGAGTGGCCGACCCCTGCCAGCTCCTGAAGGCTTCCAAAGAGTTTGTTTTCAAATTCCCAGCCTTGATTATGGTGGAGCCTCTGAGGATATCCAAAGATGGGTATGAACTCATGAAAGATGTTCTCTGCTGCATTCTTTGCAGGCTTGTTGGGGGTGGTGTAGGCCTGTGTAAACCTAGTGAAATGATCAACTAATACTAAGATGTATTCAAAATCCCCCTACTGTTCTAAGTGCAAAAAGTCCACTGAGACCAACTCAAAGGGAGCACTTGATGTGAGCCCATTGGTGCTTTCTGCGGCACATTTGGTATTTTCTGCTTGATGTAACTACATTTCTTTGAGACATAGTCCTCAACTTCTTGTTGCATAAATGGCCAGTAAAACTGCTCTCTCACCAGGTGAGTGACCTTATCTGCACCCACATGCCCCATGTCATTATGAAGGTGTTTCAACACAGTGGCCTGCTTCCTGTCACCACCAACCTTTCTGGAAAGGATTCCATTCTCAGTCTGCAGTTTTGTCCACTCATGCAGCAAGCGTTTGGCTCTCACACACAGTTGCCTTTTCTCGGTGTCTGTTGGTTATTGCCCCTTTAACTTGAAGGTCATCACTTCCTTGATGCCCTGATCATTCTCTTGGGCAGCTTGGATGTCCTCAACAGTTAACGGTATCACGTCTTCCCTGACATTAGTGTTGTCAGGAACTGGAAGACTGATTGACAGTGCAGCTGCCCATATAGCCTCTTTTTCTTTGACGGCTTTGCTTCCCTGCCAGATGGCAGTAATGACATCTTGAGTCATGTTGCGTTCACCCTGTTGGAGGTCAAGTGGGTTTCTGGATAGCGTGTCTGCGTCAATAGACTTTCCCTGAGCGGTACTTCATGTCAAAATTGAAGTTTGCTAGTTTACCCACCCATCTGTGCCCTACAGCGTTAAACCTGGCAGTACTCATCACATATATCAGGGGATTGTTATCTGTGTATATTGTAGGAGATGGGAAGTAGTAGTAGAGATAATCACAGAACATGTCACAGTCAATTTTAGAGCCAGGAATTCAAGCTTTCTGGAGTGTAGGTGATAGTCATTTTCAGCTGGAGACAAGGTCATCGACCCATAACCTATCACTCGTAGCTTTCCCTGCTGCCTCTGGTAGAGTACTGCACCAAGACCCTCATTGGAGGCGTCTGTATGTAGGGAGAATGGTTGGTCAAAATTTGGGTATGCCAGAACTGGGGTTTGGGTAACTGCATCCACTAACCTGTCTACAATGGCCTGGTGGGCTGCTGTCCATTCTACTGGCATCTTTGATGGCAAATTGACCTGAATATTTTTGTTTTCGGCTTTCCTTTGGATTTCAATGTTCTTTTGGACATTTTGCTTTCCACTGTATTTTTCACAGTCGGTCTGGAGAAGTTCATACAACGGTTTTGCGAGTCTCGAGAAATCTTCAATGAAGGACCTCTTTATCTAGTTGTTTTGCACTGCTTGGTTCCTGAAACAGCTCACTACTGTATTTACCTTTCATGTGTGATTTGAGAATTGTTTTCAATTCAGCAACTGTAAGCCCCTCATAGTTAACTAACATCTCTTTGAATGTGCCCGATTTGATAACCTCGAGGACAGCTCTAACTACCTACGATTCAGAAATGTTTGCTCTGGTTCCCTCATCAATTTGCTTACAAATGCTACTGTAACTAATATCAGCACCTGAATCGGTTATTTGACCACCAAATACCTTAAATTCGCGTTGTGGCAGAAGGGCTGCCACGTCTGACACTCTCAACAGACTACTAGGAGGCATGTGTAAGGTCCCTGGATTGCTGGTGTCAGGAACGGCGACGTCCTCAGGAACCTGCACATGGCTGTTGTACGTTGGTGTGTCTGAGAGTTTGTTGTCTGTTGACTCCCGATGTCCTTGTTGGTTGTCCTTCGATGGAGTCCGGTTCTTCTCTCTGGCTGTTGTGTAGTCGTCGGTGTCCCCCAGCAGTTGGGTGACAAGATCCTGCAGAAAGAGCAGCTGACCGACGCCCTCATCTTCCAGCTCACTCAGCTGTTTACTGTTCATGTAACTCACAATGTTGTCATACATTTCTGCTTCATTAGCCCCTGTGACAGTATGAGCCTCTAGAAGCGTTTCCTCACTCAGGACAGCTGCCAGTTTGTATAACTGTGTTTCGTTGAGCTGGATCAACCGTTTTTGAATGTCCCACACTAGCTTTTTACACGTGTTAACTTGAGCCATTCTGCCTGCCATCTATTGACTTCTCTGTGTCTACGTCGAACACTTCTGTCTGAAGCTCTGCAGCTTGCTCTAGTCTCCACATGTTTGTCGCCGTGGTTCTTTCACGATCCACAACTCTGGTCAGTGTTGTAGATCCCGGACAAGCCCCCAAAATGTTACTCCCCTCAGAATAGAGATCTGAGAGCAGTAGGATAGTAATCTGAAATGCGGTGGAAAAAAGGAAGCACTTGAGAATGTTTCAACTTTATCAAGTGACCTCATTTTAATAATCAAATTTTGAATAAATGAATATTCATTTATCATCAAGTTTACATAAAAAGGAAATTCATCTCAGATTGAATTTCACTAAATATCAAAAATATGATTGACATTACCAAATGAAACAAAACACCATTCAGTATTTCAATCTCCTCCATGAACAGACTAACATTCAGTCTCCCAGTCTTGTATAGCAATCGGCGCCATTTTATGATGACCACATCAGCAAGAGACAACAGAGTATTACTGTAATAACAGCCCAACTACTTTTCCGCATCGCCCTTGAACCACGAGATGACATTACTCTCCTGTTGTACAAATATACTGTCCAATACATTCACTATAATATACATTACAAAATAGTTACTTGGATATGAACACGCATTCCCCGGTGCACAGGGTGGCACCCTTTGAAGCTAGCTAGCAACCGCCCCTCTCGATATCTAGCTAGCAACCGCTCCTCTCGATATCTAGCTAGCAACCGCCCCTCTCGATATCTAGCTAGCAACCGCCCCTCTCGATATCTAGCTAGCAACCGCCCCTCTCGATATCTAGCCAGCCAGCCTAGCTCATGAGCTTGTTAGCTACATAGAATTGTCTTTAAAAATATAACCCTGTGACCGATAAACAGACTTAAATAGATATAGTCCATCAAAATAAAAAGGTATCCCCTGAATCCCCTTTACTTTTAGTTCTAACTCAAGGATTTTCAATCCGCTACACATCCATGGGAATATAGTCTATATAATGGTATTCTGCAACTCAGCTTGTGTGGCTCAGTTGATAAGAGTGTGGTGCTAGTAACACCAAGGCCATGGGTTCAATTCCTAAAGGGATCATACTGTATTTTAAGTCGCTTTGGATAAAAGCTTCTGCTAAGTGGCATACATGATCATATTAATGAATCTACTGTATCTATACCTCCATAGTAAGCCAATGTGCAATGGAGAAAATGTACTGCATCTTTTCAGCTAAGCCACTCAGTGTGGGTTCTCTCTTACAGGTAACATGCGTCCTTTGAGGAAGGAGGCGTACCCGGAGACAAGAAAAGGCGGTCTATTCCTTAACAAGTGCAGACTGAGGTGAGAATGTGTGTGTGTGTGTGTGTGTGTGTGTGTGTGTGTGTGTGTGTAAGGCATCTTCTCTCCCATGTCACTCAGTAGACTGCATGCATTTGATTATATTAAATACTGGTTTCCATGCACTTGTTAAGTACAGATGTATGATCTTAATTTGAGCCAGTTTGCCTGGCTTAAAAACAATCGTTAAGAAAGAAGCCAAGTCATTCCAATCATATCAACCAATTTTACAATCATCATGACATCAAAAGCATCTACAGATGTAGGATCTTAATTTGAGCCAGTTTGCTACAGCAAGGAAATAATCCTGCAGCAACAGGAAATGTGAATTATTATGTGGATTATAATTCATGGACATTTTTGTAGGGGTTGATACATTTTTCGTTAGGGCAAATCAAATCTGACATTTGAAAGTGTAAATTACAAACTTTAGAAGCCTTTTTAAAACTCAAATATTCTACAAGTTTGCATTTCCTGCTGTGCAGGACAATTCTCAGCAACAAAAGTGATCAAATTAAAATCCTACATCTGTAGGCCTCCATTCAATTGAACAGCTTTAGCTCAGCTCTCTACGTACCAGAATACATTGAATAAGAATAAGTTATCAAGTGCTTCATATTTCTTCCATGTTCCAAGTTGAATGAAATAATACTAGAAGATTTTCTACATATTTTAAAAACACATTTATGAACCTTTAGATTATATATGTATCATACTGTACATCCACTGTTACTGTTTTGATCCAGGTTTCGACGTGGGTTATAGACAAGACATTCATCTGGACCCATCTCTACCATCCAGCCAAGGCAACACCCCTTTTCAGAAGATTGGAGATATTATTATTATTATTATTATACAATACAGAAGAGCAACTATTTATTTTTCAAAGAGTATTGCAAAAACGTCTATGGAATTTAAACTGACCAAACCAACATATTACTGTACCGTGCCAGATGGGTTGTCATAGTAACTAATAACTATACCGTTTGTATATAACATGTATTGTCTCAAAAAAAATCAACAGTCACATCTGATAAGATCTATTTCCTTAACACAGTGGGTTCTTTTTCTCCAAAAGTTCAAGATAAAACAAAATGTTTGTAAATTAAACAATTAATTTAACCCAACTTTGTCCTTCTTGTCATGTCACAACTGTGATATCTTATCAAATGACAAAAGGGACTATGGAAAGCGTTACAGATTGAATAGAGCCCCTAGATTCACACAGGTATACTCCATCAGTACAATTGGTGGCAGCGGTGGGATCCTGTATTTCCATAGTCCTTTTTGTCATTTGATAAGATATCACATGACTCTAGGACCATGTTTGTTCTATAGCAGATCATAGAACAGAACCATGATACACCAGAACCAAAGCTATGGAAGACACAATGTGACATGCTCCTATCACATTTAAACATCTCACACACACTTCAAAAGGTAATATGATGTATACTAAGGCTGGGATTCAATATATTCACGGATTATAGGCATTGCGGCTTTCAAAGGCAATGTTTCCACGTTCGCGGAGATCCCATTCACGTTAAACAAAATGGCCATTAAAAGCCGCAATGCCAATAACCTGCTATCGGATTGAATCCCACCCTAAATAGCTTTTTTTCATTCCAGCTGAAAAACATACAGGTCAATGTTCTGTGTAGATATGAAATCTTCTCTTCGACCTCCCAAAAACACTACGAAACCAGAGAACAAGGTAAATGGCTTAAAAACCACGTTAAGAAAGAAGCCAAGTCATTCCAACCATATCAACCATTTTACAATAATTATGACATCAAAAGCATCTACAGATGTAGGATTTTAATTTGAGCCAGTTTGCTACAGCAAGAAAATAATTATGTGGATTATAATTAATGGACATTTTTGTAGGGGTTGATACATTTTTCGTAAGGGAAAATCAAGTCTGGAATTTCAAAGTGGAAATTACAAACCTCAGAAGCCTTTTTAAACCTCAAATACAATGCAAGTTTTACATTTCCACTTTCTCCTGCAACAGGGTGATCAAATTAAGATGATACATCTGTAGAAATGATTACAATTATAATAAATAATAATATGTGCCAATCACATTTCATCAACACTGACAATTAAGACACAATATTTGGACAAAATTGAAATCCACCACCAAAGCAATGACAAAGATGCTGCCATCCTGCATATGGGTATAATATGTGACATGATATACACTCACACTTAGCTATAACACAGAGAAATGTAATACCATGTCAAAAATGTGCTCTATCAGCTTGCCTTGACGCTGAAAACAGATTCTGACGAAGATTCAACCCAATTAAGAATCTTTACCATCGGTCAGTGCAGACATAAAAAGGTCCCTTCATATCTCTCTATAAGTTCAATACAATATAGCATTGAATAGTGGTGGACGGTCAATAAGGCAATGGAATAAAGGAGAATTGTTAGTTGTGGCATTGATGATTTACCAAATCAACTGTAAGAAACAGAAATGCTTGATATCATGCTATCAGAATTGTCAAGGTCTGGACCTTTGAACGCAGCTTGGGTTATGTAATAAGCTGTCTAGTACTGGATATAGATCATGTAATAAGCTGTCTAGTACTGGATATGGATAATGTAATAAGCTGTCTAGTACTGGATATAGATAATGTAATAAGCTGTCTAGTACTGGATATAGATAATGTAATAAGCTGTCTAGTACTGGATATGGATAATGTAATAAGCTGTCTAGTACTGGATATAGATAATGTAATACGCTGTCTAGTACTGATATAGATAATGTAATAAGCTGTCTAGTACTGGATATGGATAATGTAATAAGCTGTCTAGTACTGGATATGGATGAATGGTAAGTAACTGCATACTATTTCAATTCAAACAGAATATCCTATTAAATAGCAACAGATATCAATAAAAACAGTTAAAACTTTCAAGTTAAATGACTTACATTATATGGACTCACTTAAAGATTTTTTAAACATATATAAAATCACCTATAATCAATCAAACTTGCACTGTGGTGGAACTGGGCGTAAGAATCACCCTTGTCTCTCCTATGTGACTGCAGTCCTGTTATTGTCAAAGGGGATTTTACCCAATGTCTCCTTCCCACCTTTGTCTGACAAAGGCTTTGCCCCAGACTCTGTTTTGGACTGGTCCCCATCAGCACCAACAGTAATACTAGCTGGGGTTCTCCCTCTCCCAGCTGTACCCACTGCAGGCCTCTCTGTCTGGGCCAGCCGCTCCACCAGGCCCTGGGGTAGTGGAGGTCTGTAGCGGTGTCTGTAGCCGTAGGCACGGAGATGGTAGGTCCAGTACTCTAGTGTGTACATCAGCTCTGCATCCACATAGTGGAAGGATACTGCCAGGTCTGAGCAGCACTGGGGACCCTGGGGGAGAAAAGCACACACACACACAGTATTCTAAAACGTACTACATGGCCTTTCACTGTATCTGTTGACAGAGCAGAAGACATGAACCAAGGCTCCGAACAGCACCCTTAAAAATATATGGGATTTTTGTATATTAAATTCAACAGCATACCTGACTATTGTGGTGTTCACTGTCTATTTCACATGGCTTCAAGTATCTCGGGTACTCTGAAAATCACATTGCCCGTTTTTGACAGTCAGTCTGATAACCATTTGGAATTAGACTACCTTGGTATCGAACAGCGGAGACACTGGCTGTGTTTCCACCACAAAGATGCTTGTTTACCCCCAATTGTATTGCCATGTGTCTTGATGGTCCCTGTCTGACAGACTCATAATAGACTTATAATTTGCATTGCAAAGCACAAAGAATTAGAGCTATTATCTGTAACAAATAGGTTCCTATTGTTGACAGAGTTTTGTCTCTACTGCAATCATCCACTTTAGCATCAATGTTATTTATTTATTTTAAAGCTGTACTAACCAGGGCCAAAGACCCAGTTGGACAGATAATCGTAAATTACGAATGTAACTATGGTTCTACGAATACCTGGAAGACCATCAGTATGGCTGCCACAAGCATGCCCATCAGTATGGCTGCCACGAGCATGCCCATCAGTATGGCTGCCACGAGCATGCCATCAGTATGGCTGCCACGAGCATTCCCATCAGTATGGCTGCCACGAGCATTCCCATCAGTATGGCTGCCACGAGCATGCCATCAGTTGTTGGAGCGTTCGTACCTTCACCAACCCATTCAACTGGAATTGTTGCAGAAGAAGAAGAATGCTGTCCACGCGCTGAGGTGTTATACATGCCCTCATAGTGTGGGAGTTCAGAACCATGCAAACAAAGGTGACCTTTTTGGCTTGGTGTGAAGTTGCTATTTTCGTTGTTCACAGTAAGACCCAGTGCGGTGACGTGGGTCAGTGTCAGCGCTGTGCCAGGGGAGAGGCTGAAGGGTACTACAGCAAACTGGTATGTATGGCCATGGAAGGTGAACCACAGGAAACGCCTTGGTTCCAGTAACACAGGAACGTGAAAGTAAGCGTCCTTTAAGTCCAGGGACGTGAACCATTCCCCTGCGGCTACAGTATGGAGAACGTTGACCGTCCGCAACATGTGAAAGGAGAGAACTTTTAGGAAAACAATGAACCGCTTTAAATCCAGAACTGGATGGAAGCCTCCGTCTTTCTGCAGAACCAGGAAATAGGTTGAGTAAAAGCCATCTTGCTGTTCTGATGCTTTTACTCTTATGATTGTGCCCTTCTCCAGGAGAGATGTAATCTCCTGGTTGAGGGTGCACGCTTTCAGGAGGTCTGTGACTGAAGTCATTCTGACCCCTGAGAATGGTGGGGGTTGGTGTCGGAACTGCAGACTGTACCCTTGTGAGAGGGTCATCACCACCCATGGGTCTGAGGAATGGGATGCCCAGTAGGTCAGGTGCTGCTGGGTAAATCGGCCGACCTCCGCCATTCAGTTTCTGGCAGATAGCGTCCTACTATCCTTGCCGTGGTGGGCGAGAGCCCGCAGGTCAGCCCAGCATCTCTGAAGCTCCGTAAGAAAAGCCGGTGAAAGTAGCACACTGAACGGTGTAGCTGCTGGGGCCTTCTTAAAGAATAGGTTAGCTGCAGGGGCTGTGGCTTGAGGGTCATCAAGCTCTAGCCTAGCTAAGGCAGTACGCAGGACAGTGCGTAGTGAGGCAGAGCTTGCTTCTGACTCAGTGTGATCAAAGCCTCGGAATGACTCCTCTTACCCATCTTTAGCATTGAGACTGAATGGGTCCACAACACTGGTTGGCACCCCCTTCGCCATGTTGGGCTTGTCATCATCCTGGTCACGGCTATCTGAGTCCTCTGTTGTGTCCCCCATGCTGGAGGGAGTGCTAGAATGCCCCGACTCAGGGGGCTCGAAGGAAGGCAAAAGCGTTTTTAGCTGCTCTATCTCAGAAGATAAGGAATTGACCTTCCGAGTGAGGCTCTTATTTTCTGACTTTTCACCGGGGGGGCACCATCGGTTTCGTGGGCTTTCCATCTTTTGGTGGCCATGGGTGGGTCCTGGTGAACAACGCCGGACGCTGGTAAATTATCTGTGAAAACCAGGCCCTCAATTCTGGCTAGCCACGCTTCCCTCACCTTCACAGGCAGGATAGTGCAGTTAATGCAGGGGTCAGTAAGGGGCTCATGCAGATGGCCAACGCCTAGGCAGGCGTGGCACAGGTCATGACCATCATCTGCTTGTAGTTCAGCTCTACAAGAGGAGCAGCCATGCATGCTCAGCATCATGGTGATGCAGTGTTCTCTCAGCTCAGAATGTGAAGAAATGTTTTATAAAATATAGATATAAAATATTTCTTACGCAATATACTGATTAATCCAATTAACTAATATAATAGTAACCGGAGACTGTACAACAGCTACCACAATACACAGTAAAGGTAGAGCTACAATAATCTGGCGGGAGTTGAACAGCAACTGCCAAATAATTTAGGGTGAGCCTAGCTATGACCACAGGGCTGGGGCAGCAGAGATATCATGTTTAAATGTAGGCTTCCAGTATTTATGCGAAACAAGCACGATTGGCCGTCATTTGGTAAACTAAGCTGACAACACACAGTTGTAGCTAGGTTGAGTTGGTAAACTAGCTAGATAGCTAGCTAGCTTGTAGCATGCCAGTAATACACTATATATACAAAAGTATGTGGACACCCCTTCAAAGTAGTGGATTCGCCTATTTCAGCAACACTCGTTGCTGACAGGTGTATAAGAATGAGCACACAGCCATGCAATCTCCATAAACTAACATTGGCAGTAGAATGGCCTTACTGAAGAGCTCAGTGACTTTCAACGTGGCACCGTTCGTCAAATTTCTGCCCTGCTAGAGCTGCCCCGGTCAACTGTAAGTGCTGTTATAGTGAAGTGGAAACGTCTAGGAGCAACAATGGCTCAGCCGCAAAGCTGAAAAAACACAAGCTCACAGAGAGGGACCGCTGAGTGCTGAAGCGCATAGTGCGTCAAAAAACGTCTCTGCTTGGTTGCAACACTCTTTACCGAGTTCCAAACTGCCAACGTAAGCACAAGAACTGTTCGTCGGGAGCTTCATGAAATGGGTTTCCATGGCCGAGCGGCCGCACACTAGCCTAACATCACCATGCGCAATGCCAAGCGTCGGCTGGAGTGGTGTAAAGCTCGTCGCCATTGGACTCTGGAGCTCTCTGGAGTGATGAATCGCGCTTCACCATCTGGCAGTCCGACGGACGAATCTGGGTTTGGCGGATGCCAGGAGAACGCTACCTGCCCCAATGCACGGTGCCAACTGTACATTTTGGTGGAGGAGGAATAATGGTCTGGGGCTGTTTTTCATGTTTCGGGCTAGGCCCCTTTGTTTCAGTGAAGGGAAATCTTAACGCTACAGCATACGATGACAGTCTAGACGATTCTGTGCTTCCAACTTTGTGGCAACAGTTTGGGGAAGGCCCTTTCCTGTTTCAGCATGAAGCGAGGTCCATACAGAAATGGTTTGTCGAGATCGGTGTGAAAGAACTTAACTGGCCTGCACAGAGCCCTGACCTCAACCCCATCGAACACCTTTGGGATGAATTGGAAGGCCAACTGCGAGCCACGCCTAATCGCCCAACATCAGTGCCCAACCTCACTAATACTCTTGTGGCTGAATGGAAGGAAGTCCCCGCAGCAATGTTCCAACATCTAGTGGAAAGCCTTCCCAGAAGAGTGGAGGCTGTTATAGCAGCAAAGGGGGGACCAACTTCATATTAATGCCCATGATTTTGGAATGAGATGTTCGACGAGCACGTGTCCACATACCTTTGGTAATGTAGTGTACCAGGGGAGAGGGATGCCTAGGGGAGGCAATCCAAATCTCACGTCTTATAGCTGGCTAGGCTAACAACCTTCCTAGACGCAGTTATCTAGGGAATTGACCCGTTCGAGTTTTCAATAGTCGGTGGCCTCGATAACGAGCACAGCAGTGGAGGATATCTTGACAAGGTTAGCACAGGAGTACGGTGGCCAACACACACACTAGCTGGTGGGCTAAGTCAGCACAAGACAAGGAAGCCCGATATCCTCCAATAAAAGGGATAGGTAGGGGAGAGCTGTCACAGCCTTAGAGGGCGAATTTTACGCTCTGACCCACAGGTCACAGGCTGTTGGTGACAGACTGACAGTACACACAACTCACACAGAGTTAAGCTTACCCTACCGGGACCTGGGAAGATGCAATCCGAAAAACAAGAGCAGCGGAGCTGTCAACTTGCGCGATAAGGCTAAGCAGTGCATGGCCTGACGTACGGTTTTATATGAACCGTGGAGGCACGTCCTCCCACACTGTCACATCACCGGCGTGACTTTGTTGTTATTAATACTCGACGTGTGCGGAACGCGACAAATATAATCCATACTTTCAACAGTATTGACGGTCTGAAAGGTATGAAGTAGAACCAACATTCATTAACGTTGTCATTCACTGTGAGATATCCTTTACATTATACAGTTGAAGTCGGAAGTTTTTCACAATTCCTGACATTTAATCCTAGTAAAAATTCCCTGTCTTAGGTCAGTTAGGATCACCACTTTATTTTAAGAATGTGAAATGTCAGAATAATAGTAGAGAGAATGATTTATTTCAGCTTTTATGTATTTCATCACATTCCCAGTGGATCAGAAGTTTACATACACTCAATTAGAATTTGGTAGCATTGTCTTTCAATTGTTTAACTTGGGTCAAACGTTTCGGGTAGCCTTCCACAAGCTTCCCACAATAAATTGGGTGAATTTTGGCCCATTCCTCCTGACCGAGCTGGTGTAACTGAGTCAGGTTTATAGGCCTCCTTGCTCGCACACGCTTTTTCAGTTCTGCCCACAAATGTTCTATAGGATTGAGGTCAGGGCTTTGTGATGGCCACTCCAATACCTTCACTTTGTTGTCCTTAAGCCATTTTGCCACAACTTTGGAAGTATGCTTGGGGTCATTGTCCATTTTGAAGACCCATTTGCGACATAGCTTTAACTTCCTGACTGATGTCTTGAGATGTTGCTTCAATAAATCCACATAATTTTCCTTCCTCATGATACCATCTATTTTGTGAAGTGCACCAGTCCCTCCTGCAGCAAAGCACCCCCACAGCATGATGCTGCCACCCCAATGCCTCGCGGGAGGAAAAAGAACCCCCTTTTTCCTCCAAACATATTATGGCCAAACAGTTCTATTTTTTTTTCATCAGACCAGAGGACATTTCTCCAAAAAGTATGATCTTTGTCCCCATGTGCAGTTGCAAACCGTAGTCTGGCTTTTTTATGGCGGTTTTGGAGCAGTGGCTTCTTCCTTGCTGAGCGGCCTTTCAGGTTATGTCGATATAGGACTCGTTTTACAGTGGATATAGATACTTTTGTACCCGTGTCCTCCAGCATCTTCACAAGGTCCTTTGCTGTTTTTCTGGGATTTATTTGCACCAAAGTACGTTAATCTCTAGGAGACAGAACGCGTCTCTTTCCTGAGCGGTATGACGGTTGCGTGGTCCCATGGTGTTTATACTTGCGTACTATTGTTGGTACGTGGTACCTTCAGACTTGTGGAGGTCTACAATAATTTTTCTAAGGTCTTGGCTGATTTATTTTGATTTTCCCATGATGTCAAGCAAAAAGGCACTGAGTTTGAAGGTAGGCCTTGATATACATCCACAGGTACACCTCCAATTGACTCAAATGATGTCAATTAGCCTATCAGAAGCTTCTAAAGCCATGACATTATTTTCTGGAATTTTCAAAGCTGTTTAAAGGCACAGTCAACTTCTGACCCACTGGAATTGTGATAGAGTGAATTATAAGTGAAATAATCTGTCTGTAAACAATTGTTGGAAAAATGACTTGTGTTATGCGCAAAGTAGATGTCCTAACCGACTTGCCAAAACTATAGTTTGTTAACAAGAAATGTGTGGATTGGTTGAAAAACGAGTTTTAATGACTCCAACCTAAGTGTATGTAAACTTCCGACTTCAACTGTAGTTTATATTCAGGCTGTTTTGTTCATTGAAAATAAATGTGAATATACCATATTTTGCACCTAGAGGGTTTGCGTAAGACAGTGATGCCCTGGTGAAACGATGCCCTACCTACACACTTTAATAGATCAAAAACACTTGGTGTCACAGGAGGATGGTGGCACCTTAATTGGCTGGAGTGGAATGGTTGGAATAGTATAAAATGCATCAAACATACTTTCCATGTGTTTGATGCCAATCCATTCGCTGAAATCATATACATCCCCAGGAAGAATATGACAAGTGATAACTTAGATAACTTATAGCAATATAGAGTGGGAAAGCGGCAGTGCGTTTCGACAATTAATAGACACTGCAGTAAATGAAACCTAATAAAAACATCTGTCTCGTCCAATACCGGAGTCTATGCAGACCGGTGCACCATAGCCAATCAGAGCTACTGTAGGACTTTATGCAAACAAGCCATTGCCACACAGGCCTGTCATCACTCACATTCATTATTGCAACAGCGTGACTTTAGATCCATTAGAACGCATTCGCCAAAAGCCACAAAATACACCCGAATGGATTTCTGCAAATATGTCAATACCACGGGAGTCCTCTTACATTTGGGAACTTTACAGTCCTATTGATCAAACAACCATGAAAAGGTAGGCGCTTGCTCCCTCAGTTACGTACATCAACAAGATCAACAACTAATGCTAGCCAGAGCAAGATGAGCAAAAATATAACGAAGGAACATTAGACAAACTTTTTCAGGTAGTTGGCCATCAAAATTGCACTGATAAAACGATGGGGAATTGTAGCCTACTCGTCCTTCTGCACCTTGCCTGCCTGGCTAAAGTTGGCAATGCATGCTTGTCCCAACCAAGCTACTTCCATACACAAATGAGAGAACACCTCACCCTGACCATTTTACTTGCCCTAGCAGAGCTGGTTAGCTAGGCTGTTTGCATGTTATCTAGAGCGTTCGTGACTAACTATTGTTTTGCCTACGTTTATTGACAACGGTCATATTCAGCAGGTGTTGCTAAATTCATCAGTTATTCTGCGCTCTGGCACACTCAGACGAGTGTTCTGAAATCGGAGTATATAGCCAGAGTGAATTTGCGAACGCAAGAGATATGCTAACTGGATAACAGTCGTTCATATTCTTGCTAGGTAACCAAATGACACCTGCATCTCTAGCTGTGTATAGCCACCGAAATGACATGACACTCCAATGACATGACATGATGTTCTCCTAGCAGCTAGCTAGCTATCTAGCTAATGTTAGACTCTGTGTTTTTAGCTTGCTACATAAATAGATATGCTAGCTTATTAGCCACGTTATGACTGACTTGTGATCATTGCCCTTGCTAGTTTGATTGTATTGACATTCCCAGCCTTAGTTACATTCGTCCATTTTTGTCCAAAATATTGAGTCATTGAAACTGAAACAGTGTATCCCGAATGGAGGCAGCAAACAATGTACCAGGCCAGCTGTGATTTACAACCTGATAGCAATATTACCAAGAAATGTATTGGTTCAGTATATTAATCATGCATTGAACTGCATCCATCTATTATAACAACAATGCCTTAGTGTACGTCATGGAATGTTGAGTCAAATGTAACCTATTTTTAAAACCTCTTATAAAGTTGGTTTTGTAGCATAAACTGGGAATTTTACATTTTTGACTGATATTATGGTTGTCTATTTGTTTCATATCTGCAAAGTAGTTAAAACGCTGTCAGTTCCACTTTAATAAATGGGTGAAACTGAAAGCCACCAAGTAAGAACAACTAGACAGACCTCTACGATGGGGTAGTAGCAGTAGCTCCAGTACCAGAAGCTCTTGGAGAACTTCCCGGTCAGATGATGCTCGGGAACAAACGGATGAAACGTCTCCCGTTGCAACGTATCTCTCGAGTCCATAGCCAGAACACCCATCTTCTCCAGACACTGTCCCAGAGCCAAGTCCTCCACAGGGGTGGTATGGGTACACACCTTGGTCTTGAACCCCTCCACAAACCTCCTGAGGGCTTCTTTACTCAACACATATCCTGCTCCGCCACTCATGTAACCCCTGCTTGGCGTAGGGCTTGAAGCGCTTGCCGAAGTAGAGGGGCTCCTCCGGCGTGTGATTGGACAGGACCCAGCGGAGGTTGTCCACCACTATGAAGGTGTCGTCGTCCGCCTTGAGGAACCAGTCGGCATCATTCCCATGATGCTCCAGGGCGTAGTGGAAGGCCCTGATGGTCTTCCAGTAAAGCTGGTCGCGGCCCTCCCCTGTGCCGAGCCCCACTGTGGGGAAGTCTGGAGAAGAAGAATGCTTTATTGCCCATTTTCCTACATTTCACCAACACTGGATGGAGAGCAGTTAGGGTTAAGTGCATTGCTCAAGGGCACAACAGCAGGAGACAGCATCTAGGATACTTTCAACCAGATTTTTCCCGTCGGTCATGGGATTCGAACCGGCCCGCCTCTCTGCCCTCTAGGCTACCTGGCTGGGTACCTACCTGGGTCGTCGACAGAGCTCATGAAGACCACCACGTTGCAGTGGCGGCTCCAGGTAGCCTTTACGTGGCGGGCCTTGGTCTGCAGGTTACTGGGACCAGTCATCACCCAGCAAAGGATGCGCACCTTCTGGTACAGCTCGTCTGCCATGCGACTGTCCTCACCTGAACACCATAGCCAAATTAGAAACAACTTTAATTGATGGTAGAGAGACACTGTATAGTATTCATATTTCTATGGGGAGATGTATGGATGTTTTGGAAAGAGCCAATTAAGTTAAATAATTAAGTGTCTTGACAATTGTGGCAACCAAGAGGTCTATTTTCTATATTAAAATACACAACACACACCTTTAATACTTCCACACAGATTTATGAGAAACTTCAGAGGAAATGTACAGTGGGGAAAAAAAGTATTTAGTCAGCCACCAATTGTGCAAGTTCTCCCACTTAAAAAGATGAGAGAGGCCTGTAATTTTCATCATAGGTACACGTCAACTAAACTATGACAGACAAATTGAGAAAAAAAAATCCAGAATATCGCATTGTAGGATTTTTAATGAATTTATTTGCAAAATTATGGTGGAAAATAAGTATTTGGTCAACAACAAAAGTTTCTCAATACTTTGTTATATACCCTTTGTTGGCAATGACACAGGTCAAACGTTTTCTGTAAGTCTTCACAAGGTTTTCACACACTGTTGCTGGTATTTTGGCCCATTCCTCCATGCAGATCTCCTCTAGAGCAGTGATGTTTTGGGGCTGTCGCTGGGCAACACGGACTTTCAACTCCCTCGAAAGATTTTCTATGGGGTTGAGATCTGGAGACTGGCTAGGCCACTCCAGGACCTTGAAATGCTTCTTACGAAGCCGCTCCTTCATTGCCCGGGCGGTGTGTTTGGGATCATTGTCATGCTGAAAGACCCAGCCACGTTTCATCTTCAATGCCCTTGCTGATGGAAGGAGGTTTTCACTCAAAATCTCACGATACATGGCCCCATTCATTCTTTCCTTTACACGGATCAGTCGTCCTGGTCCCTTTGCAGAAAAACAGCCCCAAAGCATGATGTTTCCAGCCCCATGCTTCACAGTAGGTATGGTGTTCTTTGGATGCAACTCAGCATTCTTTGTCCTCCAAACACGACGAGTTGAGTTTTGACCAAAAAGTTATATTTTGGTTTCATCTGACCATATGACATTCTCCCAATCCTCTTCTGGATCATCCAATGCACTCTAGCAAACTTCAGACGGGCCTGGAAATGTACTGGCTTAAGCAGGGGGACACGTCTTGCATTGCAGGATTTGAGTCCCTGGCGGCGTAGTGTGTTACTGATGGTAGGCTTTGTTACTTTGGTCCCAATTTGCAAATAAATTCATTAAAAATCCTACAATCTGATTTTCTGGAGAAAAAAATTCTCAATTTGTCTGTCATAGTTGACGTGTACCTATGATGAAAATTACAGGCCTCATCTTTTTAAGTGGGAGAACTTGCACAATTGGTGGCTGACTAAATACTTTTTTCCCCCACTGTATTTCCTTTAACTTGAAGAGGTCATGGGTCTTATTGGGCCTGTATACCTGTGTGGTGCAGGTGGTTGAGGTTGATGAGGGATGCTCCTTCCACCCTCCAGTTATTACTGTCTCTAGCCTGTCTCTCCTTCGCCAACGCTGCTACTGAGCTGTCCTGGCCCTCTCCCAGCACAAGGGGCTCCATGCTCATCTCGAACCACACCTTTTTTTTTACAAATAAAGATGACGTGGTTCAAGTTCAACTAAGTTTACTGACTGATAACATCATCATACCATAGCGGGTATAAAAAAATACAGTAGGTACAGTCAATGGTAACAACAATGCAAGGAGAGAGTACCGTAATTACAGGTGTATAGGACTACCTGAATAAGAATTACAGGTGTATAGGGCTACCTGAATAGTAATTACAGGTTTAGGGCTACTGAATACAGGTGTAAGGCTACCTGAATAGTTAATTACAGGTGTTAGGTAAGCTACCTGAATAGTAATTACAGGTGTATAGAGGCGAATAGTAATTCCAGTGTATGGCTACCTGAATAGTAATTACAGGTAAGTGATCAGTTAAGTGTTAGGGCTACCTGAATAGTAATTACAGGTGTATAGGCTTACCTGAATAGTAATTACAGGTGTATAGGGACTGAATAGTAATAAGGTGTTAGGGCACCTGAATAGTATTACAGTGTTTTTCCAGGTATAGGGCTCCTAATAGTAATTACAGGTGTATAGGGCTACCTGAATAGTAATTACAGGTGTATAGGGCTACCTGAATAGTAATTACAGGTGTATAGGTACCCTGAATAGTAATTACAGGTGTATAGGGCTACCTGAATAGTAATTACAGGTGTATAGGGCTACCTGAATAGTAATTACAGTGTATCCCTGAATAGTAATTACAGGTGTATAGCTACTGATGTATGCAATGGCTGAATATGGACACCGAATATAATACAGGTGTATAGGGCTACCTGAATAGTAATTCAGGTGTATAGGTGCATACCTGAATAGTAATTACAGGTTATAGGTCTACCTGAATAGTAATTACAGGTGTATGTAGGGCTATACCTGAAAGTAATTACATGTATAGGAGGGCAACTGAATAGTAATTACAGTGTTATAGGTAGGGCTACCTGAATAGTATTACAGTGTATAGGGCTACCTGAATAGTAATACATGTGTATACGGGCTACCTGAATAGTAATTACAGGTGTATAGGTAGGGCTACCTGAAAAGCAATTACAGGTGTAAAGGGCTACCTGAATTGTAATGACAGGTTATAGGGCTTACTATATAGTAATTACAGGTGTATAGGTAGGCCTACTCTGAATTATATTCATATAAAGGGAGCTAACTAATATAATTAAGGTGTATAGGCTAACTGAATTAATTAGGGCTAGTTGAATAGTATTACAGGTATGGTACCTAAAATATATTACAGTGTATAGTACGAGCTACCTGAATAGCAATTACAGGTGTATAGGTAGCTACCTGAAATAATTACAGGTGTATAGGTTACCTGAATAGTATTACAGGTTTGTATAGGGCTACCTGAATAGTATTACAGGGTTATGAGGGCTACTGAATAGTAATTACAGGTGTATAGGTAGGCTAACTGATTAGTATGTACATGTATATAGGTAGGTACTGAATATATTTACGGGAAATTTTACTCTAAGATCAATTAAGGTGTATAGGCTCTGAATAGTAATTACAGTGTATAGTTAGGGCTACTGAATAGTAATTACAGGTGTAAGGGTACCTAATAGGATACAGGATAGTAGGGCTACCTGAATAGTAATTACAGGTGTATAGGAGGGCTCCCTGAATATAATTACAGGGTATATGTCCTGAATAGTAATACAGGTGTAAGGTCGCTGAATACTAATTACATGGGTTTAAAGGGCTACCTGAATAGTAATTACAGGTGTATAGAGGTACTGAATATAATTACAGGTGTAGTAGGTACCTGAATAGTAATTACAGTGTATAGGAGGGCACCTGTAATAGATTACGGTTATAGGCTAAGCCTGAATAGTAATAATATAATGGTGATAGTGGCTACCTGAATAGTAATTACAGGTTTATAGGGTCTACCTGAATATTAATTTAAGGTGTAATAGGAGGCTACTGAATAGTATTACAGGTGATAGGTAGGGCTACCTGAATGTAATACAGGTGTATAGGCTACTGAATAGTAATTACAGGTGTATAGGCTACCTGAATTGTAATGAGGTATAGCTTACTTATAGTTTACATGATTACTACTGAATATAATTACAAAGTGTATATAGGGCTAACCTGAATAGTAATTACAGGTTATAGGGCTACTGAAGAGTAATTAGGTGTACTAATAGTAATTACAGGTGTATAGGGTACCTGAATAGTATTACAGGTGTATAGGGCTACCTTATAGTAATTACAGGTGTATAGGTACCTGAATAGTAATTACGGTGTATGGGGCTACCTGAATAGTAATTACAGGTTTATAGTACTATATATATTACTGTTATATAGGGCTACCTGATATAACAGGTGTATATAGGGTACCTGAATAGTAATTACAGGTGTATAGGGTTACCTGAATAGTAATTCAGTGTATAGGGCTAACTGAATAGTAATTACAGGTGTAGGCTACCTGAATAGTAATTACAGGTGTATAGGTTACCTGAATAGCAATTACAGGTGTATAGGTAGGGCTACCTGAATAGTAATTACAGGTGTAATGGGTTACTGAATAGTATTTCATAAGGTGTTAACTATGATATTATTTGTAGGGTTATGTATAATAATGATAGAGGGTATATAAATTAGTTAATTACAGGGTATAGATGGTAGGATAAAGTATTACAGGGTATAGTAGGGCTAACCTGAATACTAATAAGGTGTATAGCTGAACTAATGTATAAGTGTATATAAATTAATATATCACTAAAGTTAATGTATATAGGGCAACCTGAATATAATTACAGTGTATAGGCTACCTGAATAGCTAATTACAGGTTTATAGGGTAGCTACTGAATAATTACAGGTGTATAGGGCTACTGAATAGTAATTACAGGTGTATAGGCTACCAAAATAAAAATTTTAATTTTAAATGATGTTACTTTTTGGCATATAATTACTGTGGGAAAATAATTAAAAAAGTTATAGGCACTGAATAGTAATTGGTGAAAGGGGACTGAAAGTAATTACGGTTAGGTCCTGAAATACGGTAAAGGCTACCTAATAGTATAATTTTGGGGAAATAGTAATTAGGGGTTTAAAACCCAATATATTACAGGTAGTATTATAATTACGTGTATAGGGCTACTGAATGAATGTGTTGGTACCTGAATGAATAATTTTATTATGAATAGAATTCAGGTGTATGGGCTACCTATATAATTACAGGTATAGGATTAGTGATAGTACAATGAGTACCCATGTTTAAACGGTATATTAGGTAGGGCTAACTGAAAAGTAATTAAAGGTGTATAGGTAGGGCTACCTGAATAGTAATTACAGGTGTATAGGGCTACCTGAATAGTAATTACAGGTTTATAAGTCTACCTGAATACTAATTACAGGTGTATAGGTAGGGCTACCTGAATAGTAATTACAGGTGTATAGTAGGCCACTGAATAGTAATTACAGGTGTATAGGTAGGGCTACCTGAATAGTAATTACAGGTGTATAGGGCTACCGATTAGTAATTACAGGTGTATAGAGCTACCTGAATAGGAATTACAGGTGTATAGAGCTACCTGAATTGTAATGACAGGTTTTAGGGCTACTAGAAGTAATTACAGGTGTATAGGGCTACCTGAATAGTAATTACAGGTGTATAGGGCTAACTGAATAGTAATTAGGGCTACCTGAATAGTAATTACAGGTGTATTGGCAGGGTTACCTGAATAGTAATTACAGGTGTATAGGTAGGGTTACCTGAATAGCAATTACAGGTGTATAGGTAGGGCTACCTGAATAGTATTTACAGGTGTATAGGGCTACCTGAATAGTATTTTAGGTGTTTTTTTTTTTTTTTTTTTTTTTCACCTTTATTTAACCAGGTAAGCCAGTTGAGAACAGGTTCTCATTTACAACTGCGACCTGGCCAAGATAAAGCAAAGTAGTGCAATAAAAACAACACAGAGTTACATATGGGGTAAAAAAAAACATAAAGTCAGAAATACAACAGAAAATATATATACAGTGTGTGCAAATGTAGCAAGTTATGGAGGTAAGGCAATAAATAGGCTATAGTGCAGAATAGTTACAATAGTATTAACACTGGAATGCTAGATGTGCAAGAGATTATGTGCAAATAGAGATACTGGGGTGCAAAAGAGCAAAATAAATAACAATATAGGGATGAGGTAGTTGGGTGGGCTAATTTCAGATGGGCTGTGTACAGGTGCAGTGATCGGTAAGGTGCTCTGACAACTGATGCTTAAAGTTATTGAGGGAGATAAGAGTCTCCAGCTTCAGAGATTTTTGCAATTCGTTCCAGTCATTGGCAGCAGAGAACTGGAAGGAATGGCGGCCAAAGGAGGTGTTGGCTTTGGGAATGACCAGAGAGATATACCTGCTGGAGCGCAGACTACGGGTGGGTGCTGCTATGGTGACCAATGAGCTAAGATAAGGCGGGGATTTGCCTAGCAGTGATTTATAGATGGCCTGGAGCCAGTGGGTTTGACGACGAACATGTAGTGAGGACCAGCCAACAAGAGCGTACAGGTCACAGTGGTGGGTAGTGTATGGGGCTTTGGAGACAAAACGGATGGCACTGTGATAGACTACATCCAATTTGCTGAGTAGAGTGTTGGAGGCTATTTTGTAAATGACATCGCCGAAGTCAAGGATCGGTAGGATAGTCAGTTTTACGAGGGCATGTTTGGCAGCATGAGTGAAGGAGGCTTTGTTGCGAAATAGGAAGCCGATTCTAGATTTAACTTTGGATTGGAGATTCTTTATGTGAGTCTGGAAGTTGAGTTTACAGTCTAACCAGACACCTATATATTTGTAGTTGTCCACATACTCTAGGTCAGACCCGTCGAGAGTGGTGATTCTAGTCGGGTGGGCGGGTGCTAGCAGCGTTCGATTGAAAAGCATGCATTTAGTTTTACTAGTGTTTAAGAGCAGTTGAAGGCTACTGAAGGATTGTTGTATGGCATTGAAGCTCGTTTGGAGGTTTGTTAACACAGTGTCCAATGAAGGGCCAGATGTATACAAAATGGTGTCGTCTGCGTAGAGGTGGATCTGAGAGTCACCAGCAGCAAGAGCGACATCATTGATATACACGGAGAAAAGTGTCGGCCCAAGAATTGAACCCTGTGGCACCCCCATAGAGACTGCCATAGGTCCAGACAACAGGCCCTCCGATTTGACACACTGAACTCTATCTGAGAAGTAGTTGGTGAACCAGGCGAGGCAGTCATTTGAGAAACCAAAGCTATTTAGTCTGCCAATAAGAATGCGGTGGTTGACAGAGTCGAAAGCCTTGGCCAGGTCGATGAAGACGGCTGCACAGTACTGTCTATTATCAATCGCGGTTATAATATCGTTTAGGACCTTGAGCGTGGCTGAAGTGCACCCGTGACCAGCTCGGAAACCGGATTGCATAGCGGAGAAGGTACGGTGGTATTCGAAATGGTCGATGATCTGTTTGTTAACTTGGCTTTCGAATACTTTCGAAAGGCAGGGCAGGATGGATATAGGTCTGTAGCAGTTTGGATCTAGAGTGTCACCCCCTTTGAAGAGGGGGATGACCGCGGCAGCTTTCCAATCTCTGGGGATCTCAGACGTTATGAAAGAGAGGTTGAACAGACTGGTAATAGGGGTTGCGACAATTTCGGCGGCTAGTTTTAGAAAGAAAGGGTCCAGATTGTCTAGCCCAGCTGATTTGTAGGGGTCCAGATTTTGCAGCGCTTTCAAAACATCAGCTGTCTGAATTTGTGTGAAGGAGAAGCGGGGGGGGCATGGGCAAGTTGCAGCAGAGGGTGCAGAGTTGGTGGCCGGGTTAGTGGTAGCCAGATGGAAAGCATGGCCAGCTGTAGCAAAATGCTTGTTGAAATTCTATATATAGGGCTACATGAATAGTAATTACAGGTGTATAGGGCTACATGAATAGTAATTACAGGGGTATAGGTAGGGCTAGCTGAATAGTAATTACAGGTGTATAGGGCTAGCTGAATAGTAATTACAGGTGTATAGGGCTAGCTGAATAGTAATTACAGGTGTATAGGGCTACCTGAATAGTAATTACAGGTGTATAGGGCTAGCTGAATAGTAATTACAGGGGTATAGGTAGGGCTAGCTGAATAGTAATTACAGGTGTATAGGGCTAGCTGAATAGTAATTACAGGGGTATAGGGCTAGCTGAATAGTAATTACAGGTGTATAGGGCTAGCTGAATAGTAATTCCAGGTGTATAGGGCTAGCTGAATAGTAATTACAGGTGTATAGGGCTACCTGAATAGTAATTACAGGTGTATAGGTAGGGCTAGCTGAATAGTAATTACAGGTGTATAGGGCTACCTGAATAGTAATTACAGGTGTATAGGGCTACCTGAATAGTAATTACAGGTGTATAGGGCTAGCTGAATAGTAATTACAGGTGTATAGGGCTACCTGAATAGTAATTACAGGTGTATAGGGCTAGCTGAATAGTAATTACAGGTGGTATAGGGCTAGCTGAATAGTAATTACAGGTGTATAGGGCTAGCTGAATAATTACAGGTTATAGGAATATACAGGTGTATAGGGCTAGCTGAATAGTAATTACAGGTGTATAGGGCTAGCTGAATAGTAATTACAGGTGTATAGGGCTAGCTGAATAGTAATTCCAGGTGTATAGGGCCACTAGAATATAGAACATTGGAAACACTTCAGGAAGTAAAGCTAAGCAAAGAGATGTATTCAATCCACTAATACTAAACATGTGCTTGTAATATAGAAACATCTCTATTTTTTGTATTCTGATCTTGAACAACGTTTCTTAGAGGTATGGGTATCTTGAATTGCCTTAATAAACATTGATAGTAGTGAGAAAATTGTGAGTTTTGGCGTAGAGACTGAAAGTGAATGCTGCTACCGGGAGGCGCCTCGCCTCTAGTGGACCTGAACGTTTTCTCCTAACTTTGACAGCTCTGTCATTTAGATCAGGACAACCATTTGTTTTTATGTTGCTAATTATACAATTTACTTTTCCAATTTAAGTCTATGAAATGACATTTTGATAACAAGCTAAGTAGACAATCAGACAAAACCAGGCAAGGTAGCTAGCTAGCCTAATTGATTTAGCTTTTCTCTTGTCTTTTTGATGTAAATGTTTTCATTGATAACTGTACAAAATAAAATACTCATACTTGACAATTTGAAGAGCATTTGTCATTAGGTATGAGCTAGACCTAGCTAAAACAAACTGGCTAGTGATTAAGTTAAGATATGAAGCTAGCTTGCTAGCTAGCCAGTCAGACAGAAGAGAGGACTGCTGCAGGATTGCTATTTTACCAGTAAAATGTATGATCCCTATATAGCTAGCTAGCTAACTACATAGCTAGATATCTAGATACAGTGGAATTGTGTTTTTTGAAATTTTTACTAATTAAATTTTAACAGCTTAAATGTCTTGAGTCAATAAGTATTCAACCCCTTTGTTATGGCAAGCCTAAATAAGTTCAGGAGTAAACATTTGCTTTATATGTCACATACTAAATTGCATGGACTCACTCTGTGTGCAATAATAGTGTTTAACACCGGTCACTGAAACGCCTGTAACTCATTCATAGTAAAAGGTATCACTATTCTGATTTCAAATTATCAATATGCTTTAAGTTTTTCTTTATCTTCATTAAGAAGTTGTGTAAATGGCAGTTATTTGGGGGAAAACGCACTTAAGATACGCATTTTCACGTGTTTTTTCTTGACCGATTACCATTTGAATTGATGTGGCGCTACATATGTAGGATCTTAATATGATCACTTTTGTTGATGAGAATTTTCCTGCAAACTTGTAGTATATTCAAGGTTTAAAAAAGCTTCTAAAGTTTGTAATTTCCACTTACAATTTTCAGACTTGATTTGCCCTAACGTAAAATGTGTCAACCCCTATAAAAAATGTCCATTAATTATAATCCACATAACAATTCAAATTTCCTGCTGTAGCAAACTGGCTCAAATTAAGATCCTACACCTGTATTGCATGTCATATCATTTGAAAGGGCACTTTCTCAGCTTTCAAATATGTATTATGTTTTCATATATGGTTTGACACCAGCAAATAATGCTCATTAATGTACGCAGAGGTCATGGTCTCAGTAAATTCAGGAATTCCAAAACTTTCCTACCAATGATGCAACAATGCCAATATGGCAATTTACAGTTACAATTAGCTGGTGTTCTGAAGCCTAGTGTTTCCCCATTCCCCTTTAACCCACCTGGCGCAGGAAGTACAGGCTGAGGGTTCCCACTAAGAAACCCATGTAGAAGCAGCATCTGGAGCCACTCAGGCCTTTCATGGTGACCTCCTCCCTCCCTCACCTTCTCCTTCTCCTCTCTAGTAGTTCCTCCTTGTCACTATGATCACAGCATTTCTGTCTGAGATTGAAAGAGAACAGTAGGGTTGAAGAGGCAGACAAGACAGCAACCTAGAAGCAACAATAATTACAAAAATAGTTTCCTTCACGTAGTCAGAAACCAACTGATCACTAATCATAAATGTTTGAATGGTTTAAAGGGCAACTCCACCACTTTTCAACCTTATTTTCCTTATCTCCAGCACAATACCAGTGTGTACATACGTGAAAAACAGTGCATTTCTATGTTATTTAGAAAAATTATCAAATTAAAAAGTTCTACCCGATGACATCATCAAAAGTTAAAACAGTTTAAAAACAGTGATTTTCAAACACTATGAGATTTGCGTTTTTTCTTACTTTGACTCATTTCTCTCTGCCTCCTTCTTTCCACTCCTTTCCTCTTTTGACCTCACCTTCTCACCGTCCCCCCCTACTCACAAGGCAGGCAATACGCTTGACCTCATCTTTACTAGAAGCTGTTCTGCTACTAATCTCACTGCAACTCCCCTCCAAGTCTCCGACCACTACTTTGTATCCTTTTCTCTCTCGCTCTCCTCCAACACTACTCACTCTGCCCCTACTCAGATGGTAATGTGCCGTCGCAACCTTCACTCTCTCTCTCCCACTACTCTCTCCTTTTCCATCCTATAATCTCTTCCCTCTGCTGAGTCCTTCTCCCTCCGATCTCCTGATTCTGCCTCCTCAACCCTCCTCTCCTCCCTTTCTGCATCTTTTGACTCTCTATGTCCCCTATCCTCCCGGCCGGCTCGGTCCTCCCCTCCTGCTCCGTGGCTTGACGACTCATTGCAAGCTCACAGAAGAGGGCTCCGGGCAGCCGAGCGGAAATTGAGAAAACCTAGACTCCCTGCGGACCTGTTATCTTTTCACTCCCTCCTCTCTAAATTCTCTTCCTCTGTTTCCGCTGCTAAAGCCACTTTATACCACTCTAAATTTCAAACCTCTGCCTCTAACCCTAGGAAGCTCTTTGCCACCTTCTCCTCCCTGCTGAATCCTCCTCCTCCTCCCCCTCCCTCATCCCTCTCTGTGGATGACTTCGTTGACAACATCCGATCCACATTTATTAAGTCAAATGAAACCGCTGGTCCTGCTCACACTGCCCTACCCTATGCTTTGACTTCTTTCTCCCCTCTCTCTCCAGATGAAATCTTGCGACTTGTGACGGCCGGCCGCCCAACAACCTGCCCGCTTGACCCTATCCCCTCCTCTCTTCTCCAGACCATTTCCGGAGACCTTCTCCCTTACCTCACCTCGCTCATCAACTCATCCTTGACCGCTGGCCATGTCCCTTCCGTCTTCAAGAGGGCGAGAGTTGCACCCCTCCTCAAAAAACCTACACTCGATCCCTCCGATGTCAACAACTACAGACCAGTATCCCTTCTTTCTTTTCTCTCCAAAACTCTTGAGCGTGCCGTCTCTAGCCAACTCTCCTGCTATCTCTCTCAGAATGACCTTCTTGATCCAAACCAGTCAGGTTTCAAGACGGTCATTCAACTGAGACTGCTCTTCTCTGTGTCACGGAGGCTCTCTGTACTGCTAAAGCTAACTCTCTCTCCTCTGCTCGTATCCTTCTAGACCTATCCGCTGCCTTTGATACTGTGAACCATCAGATCCTCCTCTCCATATGTCTGGCAGACATATCAGTGTGGATGTCGGATCACCACCTCAAGCTGAACCTCGGCAAGACGGAGCTGCTCTTCCTCCCGGGGAAGGACTGCCCGCTCCATGATCTCGCCATCACGGTTGACAACTCCATTGTGTCCTCCTCCCAGAGTGCAAAGAACCTTGGCGTGACCCTGGACAACACCCTGTCGTTCTCCGCTAACATCAAAGTGGTGACCCGATCCTGCAGGTTCATGCTCTACAACAGCCAACCCCAATAAGCGGCCCGCGGGCCAGATCCGGCCCGCAAGAGCTAAATGTCTGGCCCACACTGACAGCATTGGCATTCACTTGTTATAATAAACATGAATTTAATATCCGTGGCTCTGCTTTATTTTGAAATTATCCCACACCTTGACCTGTGGCCTTTACCGCGTGCATACGTAAGACGTGCTTCGCGCGCTTTGCGTACTCGTCTCCACTCGACTAGCTACCTAGTGTAGTGTCACACACACACAGTAGCCGCAGCCGCTCGCCAGCTAACCCTCTTCATCAAAAGGACTGACCACTTCCTCACAAAAAAATATTTTTTAATCCAGTCAAACGAACATGGCATTCGCCAAGATACACAAGGTAGACCAGGAGAACCGTCAGTTCAAAACTGACTGGACTTTTTTTTAAACCGGACCACAACAGTGCTAAGACTGTAGCTGTAATCAAAGCGGACAATCTGAAGCTGCATTTTAACTCTATTCATGCTGCCAGTTTTAATGCAAACTACCCAGAAAAATCTGACCAGCGCAAACAAAAAATTGCAAGCATGTTAACGTCATACAAGCACTCGGTTTTAACTATGTGTAAAACAACATCGGCACAAGAGAGCGCAACAGCTGCCTCATTACACGTTTCTTGGAAGCTTGCAAGAGCTAAGAAGCCATTCGCCGATGCAGAGTTAATTAAACAATGTGCAATCGACATGGCTGCCGAAGTTTTAAACCAAGAAGAACCAATAAAAAAAAAAGTTGTTGAGCTGTTGAAGCAAGTGCCGCTGTCGGCTAACACGGCAACCAGAAGAGTCGAAGTTTTAGCGGAGGAGTGTTTTTCCAGTCTACTCACAGATTTGAGGAAAACCGAAGCATTCTCACTGGCAATAGACTTGTCTTGTGACCAAACCGACATGGAACAGCTGTCTGTGTTCGCAAGATTTTTTGATGGGGGAAGACATTCCGGGAGGAGCTGCTGTGTTTGATTTCTCTACCCAGGCGTACAACCGGGGAAATAATATTCAACGAGCTGACACAGTTCTTCGAAAGGAATGGCTTAGATGTGAGTAAAATTGTCTCTGTTGTTACCGACGGGGCTCCGTCAATGGTGGGACACCGCCAGGGCTTGGTAAGCAGGCTTTCTGCCGTTAACCCAGCACTCCTGGCATTTCACTGCATTATTCACAAGTCAGTTTTGTGCGCAAAACTGTGTGGAAAAATGAAAGAGACCATGGATACTGTGACTCAACCAGTTAACTTTGTTCGTGAGAGCTCTAGTCTGCAGCATCGCCTTTTTAGAGCATTACTCGAGGAAATGTCAGCTGAACACAAGGATCTTTTGCTCCACAATGACGTTCGCTGGTTGAGCAAAGGCTGTGTGTTGGAGAGGGTGTGTGACCTGCGTGATGAACTTGTCATTTTTATCCAGCCTGCAGAGCCAAAAAGCCAGCGACTTTTTGAGCTTTTTAACTGACAACAAGGTGATATCAGATGTTACTTTTTTGTGTGACATCATGTCTCATCTAAATCACCTTAACCTGCGACTACAAGGCAAGAACCACACTGTTGCTGACATGTATGAGGCGATTGAAGCTTTCCAGTCAAAGCTGCACCTCCTGGAGAGAGACATTCATGGGAGAAAGTTGCACTTTCCACGTCTGCGTGAGCATTGTGAGAAGAATAAAATGCAGGAAGATCCAGCAATGAAGGATTTTGTGTCCAGGCTGGCAGAAAACTTCAAGGAAAGATTTGAAAGCTCCCCTAAACTCTCAGCTGACATCCTTCTCTTCGTAAGACAGCCGCTTTCTGTGTCAGCTGACGGCCAGTGGACTGCAGAGGCCAAAAAGCTGGTGCCTTCCATAGATGAGGCTGCTCTTCAGATAGAAATCTTGGAGATGGGAACATCTGATTTGCTCAAAGCTCAACACAAGGATGCACTGGTGAGTGACTTTTGGATCAACGTGGTTTCCCAAGCTCGTTTAAAAACACCAGAGATATTGCAATGCTCCTACTCACGATGTTCCCCTCAACATACATCTGTGAATCAGCATTTTCTTCAATGAATGCTATCAAGAGCCAGGACAGAAACAGACTCTCAGATTCACATCTTGGACAGTGCCTCAGGATTGCCACAACAGAATACAAGCCTGACATCAGAAAGGTTGCCTCATCCCGTCGCTCTCACTTCTCTCACTGATTGGTGAGTGAACCAGATCCAATTATTTTTTTGCTATTTTTCAATCTTCTTGTGGTATAATAATTATTACAATGAAATAACCATTTCATATTTAATAGCATGTTTCCTACCAAATATGCTACACAGCTTAAATAAAAGTAAATGGCATCCAACTAGTTAGTAAAATGTAAAACTTAATACACAGCAATAAAAAAATCATACACAAATAAAAGCTAATTAATTATATTGTCACATTAATATCAAACACTTTTGGTTGTTAACAGCTTGATATTATTTGGTTCACATATTTTAAAAGTTTAAAAAACTAATGTGGCATATTCTGATAACACATTTGAAAAGTACCTAACTAAAAATCTCTGTCTGTCTGTGTTTGTCCTTCTGTCTCTTCTCTTAGAAAGACCGCCTGAACGCAGATATCCAAAGCATGGGTGTTCCAGACAGAAGTGGGCGCTGTGTGTGTGTGTGTGTGTGTGTGTGTGTGTGTGTGTGTGAGAATGTGTTTGCTGGACTTTTTGTTTGCTGACTGTTTGCACAGAATATGCTCCAGGGGCATTTCATAATTAAATAGTTTGTTTTGGACTAATTTAGTATTTTCCATTTTCTCTTATGTGACTCCTAACACCACTACTAATAATGATAAAATCACAATAGAAGTGAAAACTGATAAAACATAAAACTGTCGCCAAAAAAACAAACATGTTGGCCCTCGACTTGGCATGCCTGACCAAATTTGGCCCTTTTGGAAATCTAATTGGGGAACCCTGCTCTACAACATTTGCAGAGTACGACCCTACCTTACACAGAAAGCAGCACAGGTCCTAATCCAGGCACTTGTCATCTCCCTTCTGGATTACTGCAAC